TCTGATAAAAACTGATCCAGATTTGAACACTGTCCTGACGTCAGGACGGTGGCGCTACGGCTATTGGGCCAACTCTACCAATCAGGAGGAGACAGCCACGGCCATTGCCGTTCGAAAGCGCTGGAGACGATGTAGTACATATGCCAGGCCTGTAGATGGTGCTGTTCTCACAGAATCAGCCCTTGCAAAAACAGAGCTAACATTTTTCAAATTGAGCTAAATGAGGCATGGCTAAAATGCATGATCTGTTTGGTATTTTGAAAAAAAAAAAGTATAAATATGCCTTATATAGGTATGGTCCTACACTATATTATTCAAATATAGCATGATAGGTCCACTTTAAGTACAACACTGAGGTACTTGTAGTTTTCTTGAGTATTTTCAATTTATGCTACTCTATATTTTCCTACACTATATTTCAGAAGCCAATATTGTACTTTTACTCCTCTACATTAATCTTACAGCTTAAGTTACTAGTTACTTTAAAGATGCAGATAATTAGCTAAAATGAAATATAAACCACTGATAAAAAAACGTTGTCATATAATTATAGTTTAAAAATATCCAGCAGCAGTATATCAATATTTAAAATGAACTACACATTTACCAGCAGTGATGAACACATTAATGCCTCAATAATCATAAAGCACTAGTGTAATTCAATATATAATGGGCCATTTTGCTTAAAGGTAGGGTAGGTAAGAATGGAGAAACCAGCTCGAGTAAGCTAGAATTTGAAAGTACACAACCGAAAAAAATCTGCCCCTTCCTTCAGACTTCCTTACAGAGCCCCTCCTCCAACACACACAAACCCGCACATGACCAATGAGGGCACGAGATAAGTTTGTGCACGAGATGGAAGGCTGACAGGCAGGTAGGCCATCCAATTATCTGACCCGGGCCGGCTCAGATAATTGGTTGTGCTTTTTACAGCGCCACGGCTTCCACAGATGATATATTTGTATATATTTATTGTCAAAGCATTTAATTTATTCATTGCTATCGGGATGTTAAGAGCATTCCATGGAATATAACAAAAAGTGTTTCTGAAGTGAATTACCTACCCTACCTTTAACAAGCACTTTTACTTTTAAGTATATTTTGATGCTAATAATACTTTTGTACTTTTACTTAAGCAAGTTTTTGTATGCAGGATTTGTACTTATAGGGTGTATTTTAAAAGTGGTACCTTTACTAAAACCTTGAGTATTTCTTCCATCACTGGATACAGATTCATGATGTACCTCAGAATAGTATAGACCTTATGTGCATGGTCTGAAAGGCAGTAACAGAACATATTCAGTCTGCTTTCATGAGGATATACAGCAGTGTCATTTGACTTTGATCTGCACTGAAGTTATGGCCCTCCCACTGTTTTATTAAACAACATAGCTGTAGCTATTGAAATGGAGCCATATCATGGTGATTGATGTTACAGTGTCTTAAAGTGAGTGTAAGGTGCTTCCATCAGAGGACATGCCAGCAGACTTGTGTGATGTCAGCTGAAAGGTCTCTTGTTGCTCGGCAGCCCAGCCCAGTGCCTCTGTCTCCAATGCAACACCTTCAGCAGGAGTACTACATGTATGATGTAATTGTTGTTTGGTCATGTGATCCCCTGCAGCAGCTGTCAAATGAGGTGATAGCAGGAAGATCCTCGGCCCCGCCCCCTGCAGCTGATTGGACAGCTCTCAGCCGTCTAGGGACCATCAAGCAAGAGCTCAGCTTATAGATGGACTCATTGTTTAGTTTCAGCCAGGAAACAGAGGGGAAGGGTGGAAAAGAGAAGCAGAATATTGTTATTGTGGCTCTGCTGAAACACTTTTTGGTCAAATCAAAAAGCAGATTTAACAGTTTTCAAAAGTCATGAAAGCTTCCAACAGCATTCACAATGTGAAAACAAAAACATGTTGTTCAAAGTACTTTTAGGAATGTATTGCATATATTTATCCTTTTTAAAATAAAATATACTTAAAAGTAATTGTTACACCTATTAAAAGGAATATGGCACTAAGTTTCTTTCAAAAATACACAGAATTAACATAAAACAGGGATATAAAAAAACCTCTATATTTTTTGTAAAGAATTGTCAGAATATGATTCAAAAATAAAGTTGAGATAGAATAAATGAAATCATAATAACAAATGTTAAAAACATTAGAATCACTTCCCATATTGGCATTATGCAATAAAAACTGAAGCATCAAAAGTCTACTCTTTTTAGCTTTTCTGGTACATTTTGCTCATGTTAAAGCTTAATTGTTGATATATTTTTTTGCAATATTTATGTGTCCTTATTTGCCTCTAATGCAACAGAATCAGGTATCAGTTATCAGAAGCAGCCTAATTTCCTGTTAACTGTGACTTGCTTGATTATCATGCAGCCTGTCTTTCAGTGAAGAGTGCAACTTCAGTGCAATACGATTGGTCATCCTATATCTGGCTCATTTAGACAGCTGTAGGGAAAAACATAGCAACTGTTCCAGGATCAGAAAGTGCTAACAGGATAGGAATGATCTCAGAGATGTGAAAAAAACAAATCATTATAAACACTTCACAGATGTAATTTAAATGGCCTTCTTAAGATGTATTCAGTTTGCATCTTATGCTTGGATTTGATTGGTAATGCATCTGTTTCTAGGCTGATCTGTGTCTATTGGGTAAAAACACATCCTTTGTTCAGGACTGTGCATTTTATGTAAAGGCCATAACAAGGGATGGGGATGACATTTAACCAGAATGAGTCAGCTCCTGATTCTTTCCGGAACAATGTCGTCATGCGTTATCTAACTTACACATCTCACTGCACATCTCTTAGGTTCCCTGGGGTTTCAGGCCCTCGGTTTAAGAACATTTGTCCGACAGAGCAGACAGATAATGAGGAACAGAAAGACGATAGGCATATGTGTGTGTGTGTTCGTGTGTGTGTGTGTGTATGTGTATGTGTATGTGTATGTGTATGTGTATGTGTATGTGTGTGTGTGTGTGTGTGTGTGTGTGTGTGTGTGTGTGTGTGTGTGTGTATGTGTGTGTGTGTGTGTGTGTGTGTGTGTGTGTGTGTGTGTGTGTGTGTGTGTGTGTGTGCTCATTCCTTTCCATTTGTAGATGGGACCAGAGATGTGCTTTATTAAGATCAGAATCTGAATCAGAGATACTTCATTTATCCCGGGGGGAAATTCGATTTTGTGACAGCTGTTCCATTTTAGAATGAATGAATATATATATATTTGTATATAAATAAAAAGTAAGAATGTACACTAAAAAATAAAATAATATTAAATTAAAATAAGATATTAAAGCTGAAAAGTCTAAAAAATATAAATACAGTAATAAAATATTATATTAACATAAGACGTTAATTCCCATCATATTAAGTTCTAAATAGGGCTAAAAACAATATGAACAGAAAAATAATTGGCTATAAATATTTTGATAATCAATTCATCATTTAAGTAATTATATCATATGGGGCTTATTTTTTCTCTTTTATTTTACATTAAAGTGAATATCTTTGACTGGAATGACATAATAATAAATATAAGGACATATAAAAAAGACTTTCTGACTTTTATAGACCAAAATATCAACCAATTAATCTTAAAAATAATCTGCAAATTAATTGATGATTAACTTTTTTTTGCAATCTCAGTAATCTAAGTGCACATATTCAAGCAGTCAGCGCACACCTGACCAATTGCACGACAGAGGTCAAACACTGCACCTCCCCTCCTTCCTTCACAAACACACACCTCCTCCTGTGGCGCCTCCATCTGCAGCTCCCTGGTCCCTTCTCACATATCCCATCCATCCTGGACACACACACACACACACACACACACACACACACACACACACACACCACACACACACACACACACACACACACACACACACACACACACACACACACACACACACACACACACACACACACACACACACACACACACACACACACACACACACACACACACACACACACACACACACACACACACACACACACACACACACACACACACACGCACACACACACACACACCTATTAATCTCTCTAACCACAAAGTCATGTGAAAGCACACAGACTTCCCTAAATTTAGACATTTTACAGTTAGACTTAAGTTACAACATTTCCGTATCCAAACAAACAAGTTGGCGATAGTCTTACATGTTATTATGCTGGACTGTCTGGTAGAACAGATGCATGTCTAGCCAAAGTGAAATTAATATTCACTCTTCTTTTTTTAGGGATTTCATTTTAGATTTTACAGTGATGTTAAAGCCATTATGAGGGAATTATGAACCCTTACAACATTACCAGGATATTTCTGTGTACACTTATAGTATGTCTATATAGGCCACACACTGTTGAATGTTGCACCAGTATGGGTCAACTATTAAAGGGGCCATATTATGCTCATTTTCAGGTACACGTTTGTACTCTACTGTGACAGGGTTATATGCTTTAATGTTCAAAAAGCTCTTTATTTTTCTCATACTGCCTGTGCTGCAGCACCTCTTTTCACCCTCTGTCTGAAACCAGAGCCCAGTCTGCACTGATTGGTTAGCTTGCCGGCTCAGTTGTGATTGGTCAACACCTATCAAGTAAGTTGTTTGAGTGCTAGCCAATATAAGTGCAAGTGTTACGTAGTGATTTCACTATGGAGGGAACCATTTTAGCAGTTGCAGACCATTTACGTGCACAAAAAAACCTATCCAATAAGTTAATAATTTTGCGAATCAATTAAGTGGTTTGAGACATTTTTCAAGGAAAAACATTGTTAATTCTATTCTTACAGCTTCTTAGATTTGAATATATAGGCCAAACAACTCATTAATAAATAGAGAAGACAATCAAAATATTTATTTATAATGGATATTATTGTTGAAGCCCTTCTTGTGTATATTGTTTTATTTCCTAAGGGTACAAATAGTCCTTTATTATATCAGGCCATGGACTGAAATTACGTCGGCATCATCTTCCTACATTATGATGTAATTTATTTCAGTGCTTAGTTCACACCAAACAGGAGGGTCTATACTTTATCCAGAGCCCCTAGCTTTCAAATCCAAGCTCCGCCTCTCCAGCAAGCGCACCCACCTTGTCCACCAGCAGCAGCAGCAGCACAGTGCGCCAGGCAGGCAGCGGGAGTCAGGCGTGGGTCACACCGGGGAGCAAGCAAGAAGACGGACCGGCAGCAGCACTGAGTGATAGCCGCTGCACTACGGAGAAAAGACTGTTAGGGGGAAACTCCGTAATAAGACTTTATAGGACTAAGGGGTATCCTTCATTTTGTCAACCGTGAAAGGGAACTCCTTCACTGCCAAATTTGGGAGTACCGAACCCGGTGGTGTTAGGGGGGAAATATGCAGTTGAAGCCCGACTCTGTCAGCCGCGCAGCTGGCCTCAGAGGCTGGTGATGCCCGGCGTGCCGCGCGGGGATCACCGCCCAGCAGCAGGAGGGAGTCGAGACAACAGTGCCTCGGGAGGCCGATGATGATGCTGGTAAAGTCGGGATCATGGCTAACGGAACCGGTACTATCATGTTAAAATGCGTCGTGGTCGGAGACGGTGCAGTGGGCAAAACGTGTCTTCTGATGAGCTATGCCAATGACGCCTTTCCAGAGGAGTATGTACCCACAGTGTTTGATCATTATGCAGGTAGGAATTTATATTATTCTATCTGTCATGGGCGTCTAATAATAACACTAAAACATATAGAAATGGTGTGTATTTAATATCAATTCTAAAAAGAGTGAATGTAATGTTGCTGGGTGAATTTCCTCTGCCACTTCCTCTCCAACTGCATTGGCTTGCATCTGTTGCTATAATCAAAACCACTTGTTTGCCTTCTTCATAGCAGAGAGGGGTTGGGGACCCCCCTCCCTTACTCCCTCCCTCCCTCCCTTCTTTTTCTGCTCCCCAACCTCACCCTCTCTCAAATGCTCTTTGTCATTTCTTTGCAGTGAGCGTCAACGTTGGTGGAAAGCAGTACTTGCTGGGACTGTATGACACAGCTGGTCAGGTACAGTTTATTTTTTCCCTCTGGCCCGGTGCCAAGCATGTCAAGGACACACACTCACACACTCTATCTCTATATATCAGTCTCCATGTGCGCTCCTGGGACCGATCTATCCAGCACGCCCACAGGCTTCATATTCAGGCCAGACACTAAGCTGCAACAGGTGATGGTTTTCGCACATGGGTTTACTGCCTGTAGTGGTGTGTGCCATGGACAGTGATGGTAGTGAAGGGGTTTCAATAGTTATATTATGTGGAGAACAGGGCTCCTATGTCCAGTAGTGATGTCACAGGTTTGTTAATAGGGCTGCCTAATGCCTGGGCTTTTTCTTTACAATGTGCCATTCAGCGGACAAGAGCTACAACTGAAATGGTAATCCAATGGGCTACACACACACACACACACACACACACACACACACACACACACACACACACACACACACACACACACCACACACACACACACACACACACACACACACACACACACACACACACACACACACACACACACACACACACACACACACACACACACACACACACACACACACACACACACACACACACACACACACACACACACACACACACACACACACACACACACACACACACACACTAATGTTTCCACTCAGCAGAAGAGCTCAGCAGTGTAAACACACAGACAGAGGAAACCATGTTAACATACCACGGACAGAAGATCATTGAGTGCAAGATATGCTGCATCATTCACAACCAGATCTTACAGACTACAGTTTTAAGTAGGGCTGCACATAATGAGGAAAAGATGTGATGTGATTTGCTGAATAAAAAAAAAACTGCTTTTAAAGTGCACTCAGTTGCTTTAATTAAAAAATCTAAAAATTGCTTGATGAATAACGAAATTAAAGGAAATAATTGTCCACTTTTTTCTATTGGAATAAATGAACTGATCACACAAGGAACCTCTGAAAAAATAATGATGAGTGCCATTTTCTTCTAATACTGTCTTTCAAAGACCTCATAAAACCCCTGAGAACAATGACGCAATCTTTCACAGTCTGTTGCACAAGTCAAAATATAAATATAGTTTGTGCAGCCCTAGTTTTAGGGATACAAATGTGAATCATTTGATAAGTGTAATAACTTAGATGATAAGAGTCCAACTGAAATGATTAGTCAAGTAATCAATCGTCGATTAACCGGCAACAATTTCTGATAATCGATTAATTGTTGTTGAATAATTAAAACAGTTGAAGTAAATGGGGTCTGTGTGATACAGAAGCAAAACAATAACACACTTTTTTAACAGTCTTCAATTGCGCAGACTTGTCCATGTAACTTCAGATCAGTTCAAAATGTTTTTAATCGTAAGGTTTTATAAAAAGATTATGTGTTAAAGATATCGTTTTGACGTTGTTTAGCAGGCCAAATTGACTTCAAGTCATCAAGACATCCCCGTTTTTTGTGTCTTTGTTCAAGGTGGAGTCTTGTGATTTTTCTTCAAGAACTCAAAGTAACACGGAATGAGTAATTGATATACAAATGATCATGTTGTAGGAGAAGTCTTGATTAAATAGCAGAAATCTTAAATAGTGTGGACCACTAGAAGTGTGGGGGCTGGTTTTGACACAGTTCTGCTGATCAACAGTTGGCAGTGTAACACAGTACTGGCAGCAGGATAAATGCACACAATGCTTTCTGGTGAAAAACACTAAATACAGAAATAATTGTTTGTTAAAAGGAAACTCCAAAGAGCCCCTTTATGTTTGGCCTTCCTTTAACAATTACAAGACAGCCAACAGTGGTGTAGCTGCCCCTAAACCTTTCACCTCCAACAACCTAAAACTGTACACATGTCAAACGTTGAATAGTTAACACTTTCCTCAGGGCCGTATTTAACTGTGTGAAGTAAGAATGAGTCACAATCCGAAATGTGATCCGTTTATCGGAAAGACAAAAATGAGGCGCTGAAAGGTCACCCGGGGAATATTCAGCCTCTCGGTTTCTGTTCATTCATGAATGCTAAATGTCCATGAATATCAAATCACAACCCTCCCTCCTTCTTCCCAGCCAACCTGTGGCCGCACTGCATTTCTGTTCTCGACAAAACAGATGGAAGAGGTGTTACTACCCGGTTGTAAAAAGAGGAACACATACTTATTGTGTATTCTGGCATGTTTGATATTGTGTGTGTGTGTTTCAGAGCAGGGTTTGCTTTTAGCTGATTCAGAGTGTCTCTGAAATGGAGAAGTTCTCCCAGATGTCTGCCGTGGGTGCTGCCGGCCTTTCGAGAGTAGAGTTACTGCTCTTGAAAACGAGCACCTCACCGCCCCCGACTCGGCTGACCTCTTTATGCGGAGCAGCAAGGCCAGCTGGTAATGTTTATAGCTTCAACATCTGATCAAAGAGCCGTCGCCCCAAAGAGAGAGAAAGAAAGGAAGGAAGAAAGAGGAGGAGAGAGAGACGGATGGGGTGACGGAGGGGGTGAGGAGGGGGTAGAATTCACTAAGAAAGTGAACAAATGGAGTGATGCAGCGATTACTTATTTTTGTAGGCCGACCTCGAAGTTAGCATCACAATGGGGTCCCTCGACAAAGAGCTATCTGATTTTTTCCTTTGGATTTTGGAATAATGCAGAAAATAAATCTGAAATTACGTTATAAACAAACTACATCATGTTTGCAGGGCTGCGTATCACCACCGCTAAGCTAAAGGCGGCTAATGATTGGCGTGATGAGCATTAGTAGTCTAATTTAGCCACTTCTTAGCAACCGCTTCTTTTACGACAGATAGATGCTTCGGACATTGTGTGGTATTTAGTGATGTATTTTATGTTGTGGAACAAAAAGTTAAAATCTCTTAGGCATGTGTAAAAAACAGAGCTTATTTCAACCATTAACACGTTCAAACCGTTGACTTCAAGACGAGGGAACCGAAAGTGGTTACTCATGAACTTCTTTTTTTTAGTTCCATAATGTTGTGACATCACTATGTAACACTGGCTAGCGATCTAAAACATTGTACGTGAAAGGATAAGGGGGCAGGACATCTCCAGCAGTTGTCCAATCACAACAGAGCCGGCCAGCTAACCAATCAGAGCAGACTGGGCTCTGGTTTCAGACAGAGGGTGAAAAGAGGTGCTGCAGCACAGGCAGTATGAGAAAAAATAAAGACCTTTTTGAACATTAAAGCTTGGAGACATGTCACACTAGAGTAGACCCATATTATACAAATACAAACCTCCAAAAATGAGCACAATAGGGCCCCTTTAAGTTTTGCTTTCCCTTTCTCTCCCTCACTTATTACTTGCCCTTTATCATCTCCACCTCTGGCCTGTGCTACACATGTTTGGCTTCAGGCTGCCTGTAATATTGATATTCCTGGCAGGGCTACAGCTCCCACAATGGGTATCAGCAGCAAATTGCCGCTGCCATGCCCTCATCAGATGCTATTTCATACTGTCGCGTCTCTGTGACATGTCAGGGCCACATCATCACGGCCCGGCATTGACCCGAGTGCCGCTCACTGTCTGCTGTTGAGACGGCTGCTCTGCTTCTATTATCCGCGCTCTGCCACGTCGCTCCCCCAGCCGCCGCCTATTGAATTATTCCATATGGAAGGTCTGCGAAGTCTGTTTGGCTGAATGCGACGAGGGGAAAGCCTTTACTTATTCATTCGTTCTCATGATGCTGCACTCAAAGAAAACATCTAGCATTGCTGCCTGAAGAGAAGCAGGAGGAAGCAGGAAGTGGATGTTAAGTGCTGTGGTACCCATGGAAACGCTTTAAGGAGAGGAACTCAAGAGTTGTGACCCTCTGGGATCTGTGCCACGCTGCCCTAGTAACCCCCACGTTGTCGTCTGACTGTTCCTCATTTGCTTAGCCATTCAGGTGCTTCTCACACTCAACTGCACATCCCTTGATCACTTTTCCACTTCACTTCACGCACTCCCTCCGTTCTGTTTGACACAGTCTGATGAGTCCTTTTTGACTCAGCAAACAAGAGTCACCCCCAGACGTCCCAGTATAGAGGAGGGGGTGACAGGTGGGAATTAGGGTGAGGCATAAAAGGGAGGGTCTGGAATTTAGTTTTCCCATCTGGGAGCCTGTCCCCAGTTAGATTCTTTGAATTCTTCTTCATCATCTTTCCATCTTAAGCTGTATGTTTGAAACTTGTAGCATTCCATGGAAACATCTACTTCAATTTAAGGTGATAAAACTATGTCTCATTGGTGCTTTCACACAATATTCACAATATTCAGATTTAATCATATAAATTGTAAAGTAAATAATTGAATAGTTTGGTAAATTCAGAAAATTACATCAATCTACTTTAATGCAGCCTTTAAAACCTAAAAGAACATTATGTGATATTAATATTTAAAATCTAAGATCATATCTAGTCTCATAACCTTGTATTGATATATTGCCTAGCCCTACTACACATTATGGTTTCACAATATATTGTTTCAGCATTAGCATCACAATGTGTGTGTGCACAAGCAAGGCAAATTATCTCAACTACGTCTTGCTACAACTTTTTTGCTGCTTGAAACTTAAGGCAAACTTGAACATAACTAATGTAAATGAAAAAATCTGTCTGATAGAACATAATTTACTCAGATTTAAGGGTTTTGGGATACACTGAGTTTATTGTTAGTAAGTAACATGCAGGCTGTAAACAGCGAACAACCAATCACAGTAGTTGTAAAGAAATAGCTGCTTCAATTTGACCAAAATCAGGTTTGGTGTTGACTTCTGGTAAAAACAATCCTGTATTTTTATTATACGCCAGAAAAAAAGATTGCTATAGTATGTCCATTACTTCCTTCTTTATATGTTTTTATTTAATAATCGTTTACCACAGTATATACGAAACAAATTGACAAAAAAAAAATATATTGCAAACACTAAAACATAATTAGAAAAAAAAAAAGAAACAAGAAAATTATAAAATATAATAATATATATCTATTACAAAATATTTAATTATTTTCCATATCCTGTAGCCCTACTTTAAATGATTTATTAAAGGCTTAAATGAGGTTGTACCCACTGTCATTAGCTGACATTAAAGTCAAAATTAGACTTTTAATGCAGTATGGCAGGCTGTTCTCACTGAGTGATTCAGCATCGAAGCAAGATAAATTATCATTAATCACCACTAAAGGGTTATTAAAACAGAAATGAGCATAAATAGCTTCTTTATTTTATTCCTGAGGTGAAAAAGAAGCGTCTTGAGTCTGGGCTTGCGCTCCCAGCCGGCGGCCATGTTGGAGCAGGCGTGTCTGACTCTGTTGACATTGCCAGTTTATAGAGCCCTGAGGAGGCCATAGGAGGAGAGCTGGAGAAAGATAGAAAAGCGAGAGCGAGGAGGAGGGTATGAATCACTGATATCATTTCACTCATAAGTCACTGAGTCAACAGAGTGCAGTCACACGGTGGAGCTAACACGTAGATGCAGAGCCTGGCCTTCGTGGAAATGTATGGACATGTATGGAGAGAAGTTGGTCTTTTTATCACTTTCCACTGATCATAATATTTACTGCACTACTTGGGAAGACTGTTTGTCTTGATGTGCTCTTAAACTATTCCAATAAAACTGTAAGACATACTTCTGATGGAAACTTGTATTCGTTCACAGCAGCAGCAGAGTGTAAACATTTCTGGACTGATCAAACATACGAGTGAGCTGCTGTACGTAGGAGTACACACTCTGTCTGTGTCTCGCTGTGGACACTCTGAGTGGCTAGCGGGCCTACTGTCTTTGGTAATGTGTCAGGGGTGTACTGAGGGAACGGTGATAGAAGCAGAGATGGGTCTCGGAGAAGCTCCCGGCCTGTTTACAGTAAACTGCTGAGTGGCTTACACTGTGTTCCTTTATGTCTGTGGCTCACTGGGGGGATACTTGTGCAAGCAAAGGTCGCACAGACACACTGTGTACTTGATCTCATGTGACGGATATAGTGTATCTTTGGGGGCAGAGGAAAGCACATTATGTGTATGCAAAAACACTATGTGATGTAACATGTTCTCCCAAGGAAGGTAAAGTGAGCTGGATAACATCGGTATCAGACAGGAGTAAACTAGGGCTGTCAATGTTAAGGCTTTAACCCTTGAGATGAATCTGGAAACCTTAATGTGTTCAAAAAATGAATGCATACTAATCAAATTATCAAGTTTGACACCAACTTCCTCTCGTAGTTCCTTTGCAGATGTTTACCATGAATTGCATGGCAAATCAAGTGGAGGACTGGAACAAAATGTATTGCACTGACTGGAGACCACTAGACTTACATAGGAGACAGAACCATTACTTCCTCGGTGTAACGGTACACCTAATCCATGACAGAAGGTGACTCCACTCATTAGCTTTATGCGCGGTGAATAGTGAGGAAAGGCATTTTCCTGAAACATAGGCTAGCCAATTTCTTTCAGGGTCACCACTGTTGGAACAGACAGTGCTCGCAATATGAATACCACCATACAAACATATGCCCTGTGTAGCCAAATTAAACAGAGGGTTATTACAGCGACTCTGTAACAGTGGCTTTGTTGATGGTTTGTGTGGAAAATGGTCGGACTTCATGCCAATAATTCAGAAATCATGACATAATTAAGTATAAAACCCTTTATTACAACATCACATGTGTACTTGTTTTAACTCAGCCTGAAATACACATATTTTAAACTTGTGATTAATCACAGATTATAATTGTGATTAATGCGATTACATGTTTTAACTGATTGACACCACTTGAATAAACACTATAGTTGGTCTGACAGTTAAAGATGTGTGTATGCCGTTAATACCAGTGTAGCTATTCCTTCAATATTTCAGGTTGCTTAAGCACATTATTGGAAATCAATTAGGTAGGCTGCTTTAAGATAATATTGGATTTGCAGGATTGTCGCATATTGCCTAACTGTGGTTATTAGGTTTAGGAATCGTTTGGGTTTAAATGATTACGGCGTTGATTGCGTTTCTGCTTATTGATTTCTTCATTGCAATTCTTTAAGCAAGTGAATGAGGTCAAAGGCTTATCTCACATACATTTTTAAGAAAACCTTTACACAAATGTGTATTTTTATTCACGATTCACTTCATGAGGTCAAGGGATTTGTAAATGAATTGCAGACAGTGTTGGTCACTGATGTTTATATGATAACATGATAATCTTTTCATTATTCTTTCGTTCACAAGTTAATTCTGATTGGTGCCATTTGAAATGGTTCAATTTCCCCCGGGTAACACTGAAACTAATGAGTTGAAATGGCAAAAAAACATTCATTGCATATTGGAAAAAAACATACTGCAGGGTAAAAATTATGTCTGGTTTAGTAGCAGGTACATGGTACTGTTTTTATATTGAACCAAGTTTTGGTTCCCAACCCACGTCATTATATCGACTCATTTTGTTACATATCCTGTGTATCACATAATTTCATATCATTTTGACGTCGTTTTTTTGTTCTTTCATCATATTTCAAACTATAAAGCTAAAAATCAGTTTGGGAATCATCCTAATCGTTTGTCTCAGCTTGCATGGAGCACCAGATGGTTTGCATGCATAACTCTCATTTATCACATAAGGGAATTCAGATGGTGTCAGGTAAGCTGTCAGTCAAGTTGCTTCAATGACTGTGACTGTGAAAACACTCGATCATCTCATTAGTTCAGGAACTTCATAGCAGATACAGAGAATTATTATAAAGTTTTCTGCATGAGCCATGTCTGTGAGAACCCTGCGAATACTGAACTCATTTGGAAGTAAGAGGATGAATAACTCATAAATATTTGAATCACATCCACTTGACTGCACTCCAGTGTAGAGTCATCTACGATACGAGCACAGGCGTGAAGATTTGTATGGCGTTCTTAAAATCGACTCCAATTCAATATAAAGTCAGTATATTTTAAATTCATTACACAGGGAACAAAAGATGACACATTCATCTGTCTGATCTATTGCTGTATGAAGAACCATTACACTCATTTGCATGAGTAGGACTTGCTTCTGGGGTTATAGCACAGCAGTGTGATAGTATTGGATTTTTTTCGTGTGCGTTTGGCAGAGAATGGGACTCGCTGAAGGCATCCGAATGAAAGACTGTCATGCCAACGCTCCCACTGCAACTATCTCTGGCACAGTGGAACGTGGCAACCGATTTGCTTTGATTTGAGGCATGTGGACAATAAATTCCCCAGACAACAGAGTGAGGTTGATTCACTTGGTCCTTGTTGGTCTGGTTGAGTCATATCTAATTACTGGAGATCCATTGATTGCCAGTATCTTCGCGCTATCGGCGTAGAACCATCCCAATACGTGCCACGGGGAGAAGAAGTGAGATAGGTCTTGAATATGCGTGTGTGCAAGTCAGACACTCTGTCAGAAGGGTTTATCTTTGGTGGGGACAAAGCGGCGCTTGATCGGATGCACAGAGGACAGTCTTGTGTTTGTGAATCAGCCATTTGAACCTCACACATTTGGGCAATGCCAGTGCATTTGGTTGTCTTTGTCTTGTGGTGATTGCCTTTGGTCTGACTGCAAATGTCAAATAATCCATTGAAGTCTCACGTGAAGGTAATTTCTTTCTTCTCTTCATAAGTCAATTCCAAGTGTGTTCCCCTCATAAGAGTCTACATCACTCATATAAAGCAGCCAAGGAGCTCTCCTGGCTCCGGAGCTCATTTTTCACACGATTTAATAATTCACGAGTAATCGTTTCCCAGATGTTAAGAAACGGAAATGAATCATGTCTGCTCACCGTCCTGACCTCTCATCCTCCCCTGACCCGAATGTTAACTATTCCTGTCCTGTCTTCCCCCAGGAGGACTACGACCGCCTGAGGCCGTTGTCCTACCCGATGACCGATGTCTTCCTCATCTGCTTCTCAGTGGTAAACCCAGCCAGTTTTCAGAATGTGCGCGAGGAATGGGTGCCCGAGCTGCAGGAGTATGCACCCAGTGTCCCCTACCTGCTCATTGGCACCCAGGTCAGTCCACCAATGGTGTCAGAAGCATTTACACTCAGCTTGAAATGACTGCTTATATGTGGGGTTCCCAAACTTTTCAGTCCGCGACCCCCAAAATAACAGTACCAGTTACTGTTGGCGACCCCTGTCAACGGGGGGGGGGTGCTAGTGCATATATCAATACATTTAAGTTTTCCGCACACTCGCGGGAATATCTCCGCAATGGAGCGAGCTTAAGTTTCACTTTCGATTGCATGATATAGCCCAGCGCGACACCTTCATCACACATATTGCCACTTGTTTGTACCATCTTCAGGCGATTTATAATCTGTTCTAGAACTACGATGTGTTTTTAGGATTGCAAGAAGCATATAGAACAAACAATGGATGTCTTTTATGAACATTTATCCATGCTGAAAGTAGATTTAGATGTTTTAGGAGTGTGATAGAGATTATTATCTAATATATGCATCCAATGAAGCATTGTATGAAGTCTGTTGATGATCAGAGGCTGTTGTTGGGGCTGCATAAACGTTTTTTTATTTTTTGTTTTGTAGGCAGACCATGCAGGCCAGCCCGATGGTCACCAAGGTTCATGTTTTAATAGCATTTTTACAAAAAAAGCCCAGGCGAGCCTAACATGTGACAATATGGCTTAGACCTCAGAGAGTTAAACTTGGGCCTGCGACCATAGTTTTACTGTATTTTGTTTTGAAAATCCACAGCGGAGGTTTGTGTCGTACTACATGCGGTGTATTTTGCATAATCTCTCAGTAGCCAACGATCTGTGAGTCTGTTGGCTCGGACATAAACTCCGTAATAAATGTAGTCTACATTTCATAAGAGGTGTAAAACCTGAGAGCATTTTAAATCGTATTTGAACTAAATGCTTATATAATCTGTAGTTGTATTTGTATTTTTGATTTATTGTGTGAATGAGGCGATATAGAGAAGGTTAAGCTGTCATTATTAGGCTGTTTTGTACTGTTGGAGTGGTAAGCAGGCCTATTGTTTTTGGATATCTGTGGAGTTAGGTGGTCCGTGAGGGTTTTTTTATTGGTTAAGTGGTCCTTGGTATGAAAAAGTTTGAGAAACACTGCGCTAGTGGATTGTCAACAGGGGGAGCCTCGCAGCGGGGAAATTATACAGATGGCTAGTCCGCCCCTGAAAAATGTCTATACACCCGTTATTATTAATAATAATAAAAAGAAAATTGATTAAAAAAATGGATACAATTTTTTTTACATTTTTTTTAATTTAAATTTTGTAATCATCTCGCGACCCCCACTTTGGGAACCCCTGCTCTAGGGTACAATAACAATGTCTGTTACATCTACATGTACACTATATCAACTTGATATGATACAAATTGTCTCAATTGAGGCCAGATCCAGATTGTAACTTGAGGAACACACACACACACGCTTTGAGCCACAATGTGAATTCAACCTCAAGAGACCACCAAGGCTAACAGAGAACTTTTTTACAATTTAGAGACAAATATACATTGAATCTGCTTTCGTTTGGCACAGGAGATAATCATGGAGTATCACAAACTTCACAAATATATTCCTTACATATAGCCTGCAAAATGTTAGTTTTCAGAACATTTTCTGATAAATCCAGTTGTTGTTTTTCAAAGCTTTGCTGGTTATACTTTTAAAATGTGATGACTTGATACTTTAATTACTCGTCATATATCACCATAACTGGAATATATTTTGTGAACTGTTGGTCAGACAAAACAAGATTTTTTTTACGGCAAAACGAATGAGAACTGTTTTAATTCAATATTAATTATTATATTTGTGCATGCAATGGACTGCAAAGGCTATAATCCTAGAGTTCCCTCCAGAGGGAGTTTCTCTCCCATACACCCCCTCTGCCTGAAACGCCTCCATTAGACTCCTTTGTTTACTCCCCTAACATGGTGACATCACTGACACTCGTGCTTATATTGGCTATCGCTCCAACACATTGTACTTGAGAGGCTAAGAGGCAGGACATCTCTAAGCTGTTGACCAATCACAACAGAGGCGGCCAGCTAACCAATCAGAGCAGACAGGGCTCTGGTTTCAGACAGAGGGTGAAAAGAGGTGCTGCAGCACAGGCAGTATGAGAAAAAAAAGATGGAGACATGTCACAGTAGAGACACTAAATACAAATATGAAATGTGAAAATTAGCATAATAAGGCCCCTTTAAGTGATAAAAAAAAAATCCCAGTGCAGCCTGTTGCTCTGAACCTGACCTTTGGCAAAGAAGAATAAATGTATTCAATCAAAAAAGAATTGGCGAGTACAAACATGTCTGGGGACCTCAGGCTGATCTGTGTTTAAAAGGTCTGTGGCTTGGTACATTAGTCCTCAGTGCCTTAAAGGTAATCATTAAAACAGCCATTAACTTATGCAAAGATACTTAATCTGGGCTCATGTCTTTTGATCTTCCATAGAAGCAACACTAAACTCATGAAGATGTTAAGAGATGACACTTATCCTAAGTATTAGCTTATTTCTTATAGTGGACCTATCATGCTATATTTTAATAATATAGTGTAGGACCATACCTATTTTTACCTATAAGGCATATTTATACTTTCTTTTTTTCAAAATACCAAGCAGATCATGCATTTTAGCCATGCCTCATTTCGCTCAGTTTACACTTTTTTATCCCTGTTTTTGCAAGGGCTGATTCTGTGAGAACAGCACCACCTACAGGCCTGGCATATGTACTACAGCGTCTCCAGCGCTTTCGAACGGCAATGGCCGTGGCTGTCTCCTCCTGATTGGTAGAGTTGGCCCAATAGCCGTAGCGCCACCATCCTGACGTCAGGACAGTGTTCAAATCTGGATCAGTTTTTATCAGATCCGTTGCAGCCCCTTTTTTAGAGATTTGGGTATGGAGGAAAATAGAGAGGGTTGTGTTTTCTGACACTTGGTGAGTTCCCTGGAACACCGGGAACACATATTCATGTATAAAAGACGTACCAAAGTGCATTTTGCATGATAGGTCCCCTTTAAGCCTTAAAACCCACTGTCGGTGCCGTATGTCCAAAAACGATTACACCGCTTACTGGTGGGTGAATTCGCTCTGTGTTCCCTGGCAACCAAATGCCAATGCAGCCAGGGCCCCGCGTTGGTGAGGAGGATGGAGTGGGTGTCTGATTTATCTCCTGTCAGCTGATGTTTACTGCCCTTTGTATCAGTACCCGTCAAAACTTGCTCGCTGCTCTGGAGTCCGATGCTGATATGCACACAAGCTTCATAACAGCGAGCCACAAATCACACCAATCAAGAAAAGGTTTAATGAAGGTCACCCGTTTGTGCAGGTGGATGCATTTATTATAAATGGCCATTACTGACATGGGGATGAGTTGTGTGTGCTGAGCGTTGCATTGAATACAAGAAGAGTGACGAACCGTGTGGTTGGCTGTAAAATGGCTTCTGCACAAGAGCAGGAAGTGTGGGTTTCAAAATGAGAAAGAAAGCTGTCAATTATGCAGGTCGGCTATGTTTAGCAGCGTGGAGAAAAGTGCAGAAATACCTGATTTTGTGTTGTCAAATCAGAAATTAAGTCTTTAAGAAAATATAAAAAAAGTTATGAATTCATATCCATGACTTAACTCAGAGAAAATGTCCCTTATCTCTTTCAGATTGACCTTCGTGATGACCCCAAGACCATTGCCAAACTGAATGACATGAAGGAGAAGCCCATACCCACTGAGCAAGGACAGAAACTAGCAAAGGAGGTTTGTTTGTTTGTCCTACTAAAGAGAAGTAATGAGTAGCTAACGAAAGAGCTAGATGCTAACTGTCAGTGTGGTAGGATTTAGCTGTCATGTCCAGTTAGATTCCTGTGTGTTGCTTTGACCCTGCAAGTCTCTGTAGGAATGTCTGGAATCAGACCTCTGTGCATTATTTGCCTCAAATAAATTCAGAAATACATTCTAGGTCCTCATGGATGTCAAAAGTAGTTACAGGCTGTCTGACGTAGTGGCCTGTGATTAATCAATCCTGTCAGGCAGAAATTGAGAATAAAAGTCAAACGTTCAAAAATTACATTATACACCCATCTCAAAGTATTAAAGGTCCCATGTCATGCTTTTCCGGTTATTACCCGTCCCCTTGTGTGTTATGAAGGTTTTTATGCATGTAAACGGTCTGCAAAGTCACAAACCCTCAAAGTACACCCTGTAGGGAGTAAAACTCTAACACAGAAAAGACCTGTCTATGCTGCCCCAGAACGCCTCGTTGGAGATTTCTCTTTTTCCATTGGTTTCTTCCTGGGTACAGTGACGTGCCCATACCCAAAAGGGCCCATTGGTCCAATTGGACCAATCCGTGGAGCCGTTACGTTACGTCCGCGGAGCCGTTACGTTAAGTCCGTAGATTGGTCCAAATGGGCCAATCCGCGGACTTCCTCACACACACACACTCAATCTTTTCTCAGCTGCAGCTCCAACGATTTCTCCTCCCTGAGACGGTGGGACGCGGCGAGGCTGTTAGTCGGTGTGTGAGCACACACACAAACTCCCAGCCAGGCTGCGGGTGTGTGTGTTCGGGCTGGGTTTCGCTGTGTCTCGCTGTCTCGCAGATGGCCACTGGGCTCATAGGGAAGGGGGGCAGGAGCTCCAACAAGCCGTTTAGGATAGAGAGTGAATACACATACTATACAGAGATGCTGTATGAGAAACCAATGCGATTTTGGAAAATTGCACAATATAAATCTATTTTAGTATACCTCAACAATGGAATTATGATCAGTAGAAATGGCCATGACATGGGACCTTTAAAATATGGATTTTTGGCAATGTAAGATAGGATTTAGGCGTGTTTTATGTCTTTTTGGAGTCATGAAGTTTTCTGAGGCCACAAAAGTTCCATGCAAGATCGTTTTCAGATTAAAAGAAATATTAGGTTGTATTAGGTTTTTGTCAATGCGAACTGTTTTTTACCTTGGACATTATTTCTAGACCTGATTTCCATATAAATCCTTCTAAAGATTTGAAAACCCCCCAAAAAACTCAAAATGAATGAAACAGAAATGAAATGATGTTTTCCCGAGTTTTTAGCCTCTTTTGTGTATATCGGAGTTATAGGGCAAAGCATTTTTTTTATTAGACTCACTGTACTGCCGTTGTGAAAGTCTCAAACACTAACAAATGACTCTCGGAAAGTGCCAAGGCCAATGGTGCATTCAGGTGCTCCACAGATGGTTCCGTAGGTTGCTTTCTGGCTTTGGTGTGTTCATGAGCCTAAAGTCTTAATTTGGAAACAACATTGATGCTACAAGACGTGTTGTATTTTGACACCTCATAAGTTTAAAAATTAGGGGCTATTTTGTGCTCAGGAAGTAGTGGTTTACGAGATTCTCGTATTAACTATTGGCAAGAAAGACAATCTATTCCTTTACCTATCATAACTGCTAGTTTACCATTGTATTGTACCTGCATTTTTGACAGATGTTAATATTTGTGTCCTTCTCAGATTGGTGCATGTTGCTATGTGGAATGTTCCGCTTTGACACAGAAGGGCCTGAAGACGGTGTTCGACGAGGCCATCATCGCAATCCTGACTCCCAAGAAAAAGAAAGGAGCGCTGAAGAGAAGACTGGGACCCCGCTGCATCAACTGCTGCCTGATCACGTGATAAATTAACCTCCTGGAGATCAGTCAGCAACAAACCATAAACCAAACCTGGACTGCAGGCAAAAGACAGACAAAAGAAAAATGCACAGACAGCAGAGTGAGAAACAAGAGGACTGAAAAGGACAAAACAAGAGCTACTTTTATGCTGCAGGGCTCTTGAAAGGCCATAACTCTCTCCTGCTGTCCCACACAGGTTGAGGATGCAGTTTACTACCAAAGGAGCACAAAACCCAAGTCTGTCTCTTCTTCTAAGACTTTTAGCTTCTGACGTACCTTCTTTTATAACCATTTTTAATCATTTGTTCCTTGTCTTAAGCTGTCATGCAAAGAGTTCATATTATTTCTATGGTTTGAAAGCTACATTTGTGCATTTCTCTTAAAAAAAGAGCAAATCAGAGAAAGCCTGCAACCTGTAAATAATGAGAGTCTGACCTAAGTGACACTGTGACAGTGGCCAGGATATATTTCTGGACATAAGGACCCAGTTTTTGGATTTAAATCGAAGACTCTGTAAGTCTGTCTCCAATGATATGCCAATTGGGCCCTGCAAACAATATCACACAAAATGCAACGAGTGCAATTCTGCCCAGAAACCACATTTTGGACCTAACTGTATTATTTTAAAGTTTAAGAGTCTTGCTTTTGCCTTATGAAACATATTACTTTAGAGTGTGGCATGCCAAAACATATTGCAAGTTCCAGGCTGAGTTTTTCATCAGGAACTCAAGAGGTTTATTATCCATTTTCTAAATATATATTGTCCAGAGTTTATGATTCTCTAAGATAGAGATGATCATGTCAGCTAATAATAACTTTCTTTTCGTTCGATTTTTGCTATCCTTCAATAATGTGTTATTATGTTATCAACTTCAAGAAGGTTCAGAAGAGATCTCATGTAAGAAGTTATAGAATGATTCACATCCGACTTCCAAAGAATCTAATGCACACTTTTCACAAAATCATGCGGCTAGGTGACCCAATACTGTATATCTAAGGCACAACATGAATCGCAGTCAGTGCCATTTCATTTCCGGCACAACAAAGCACATTCCTCTGCTTTAAACACAGTTCTCTCCCAGAGAAGGCTGATTGAAGCACAGAAGATGCACACTGTTCCAGCAGGCACAACTATGAGCATAGCACACTTACCACGCACAATCATATTTCATCCAGTATCCAAAATACTTCAGCTTTTCAGGGAAGACACGGACTCAAGAAGGTGCATCAGCTGTTCAAAAGTTCAAACTTCACTCCAATTTAAAATGGGGTGCACAACACAAACTGTGTTACATAGCCTTAGCCAACTGAACAAACTGACGTTAGCTTAAAAACCATGACTCGTTTCGAATGGATAATGGAAAATGGTCAACACATCTGACCTGATGTTTAAAAAATCTGTTTAATTTTGGTGTCAAGTGTCCATTAAAATGTATTTTAAACCAAAACAACAAAATATCCCTGAAAAAAATACATAAAAAGCCAATAATGCTGGGCTCAATCCCTAGCTAACGTTAAATATTGTATGTTAGCATTAGCCTAACTACCCACCTGTCATCAGACGGTTTGAGTTGGTTTACAGAAATAGGAGGGTTCTTCCACCAATAGCAGAATGATAATGGAACAGATTCTGCATTTGTATGCCAAGATATGACAAGATTTAGTTATCGGAAGCATTAAAAAGCATTAAAACATATAGGCTAAAATGCAATTTCAAAAACCCAACGGCTATCGTCTGACGATGATTTAACTTTTATTTATTTTTAAATTTGGTTGTAAACTGGCTACTTGTGAAACAATGGAGTTGTATGTGTGTGTATCAACTACTCCAACTTGAGTCTCACAAATTGCTTATAAATCGACCGGCGCACCACGGTTGCACCGGAACCACCCCAAAATACAAATATAGCCCTTATTGGAATACAACTATTGCTCGGATAAATGTTCTCTCTTTATGCCCAAATGCTGTATCTTGAAATGAAAACAAAAGTGAAAAATGAAGTGTATCTGCCCTGTGTTTCAGATTCGCTTCAAAATGTAACATGTTTGTCCTTGACCCATACTACACCCTTGCACCAGTTTGATGAAAATCAGCCCAGTAGTTTAGCTGTAATCACTAAATTGAAACTAGCTCATAGTCACTAAGAACTTATAAAGGACTTTACATACAAACTTAATGATGGATTAATGAAAAGATGGTGCAACCCCATGCAGAAGTTCATCTTTCGATAGAGTTTAAATCAAAATGATTGCTTAATTCAAAGTTATAAGGTCCTCACATGACAGCTTTTTATATGATCTATAGAAATGTGAGTCCGACAACCACACGTATACTAATCCCATCTTTTAGTCACACTGTAGAAACAGTTAGATTGCCATACCAAGAATACATTTTCCGTGTAATAGTCACATTATACGACATCTCCAATAGCAATTGAGATATGTGGAGTTTACCTGGATTTGGAGTTCTTTATATATCTCTATGATCTCCAAAAACAAGTGTATGCAACAAAGGTTTAAAGCCTATATGTCCATAGTAGGCCTACTGTAGGTAACAACTTTAGTGTGTGACTCTTGCAAGCCAAACATCCAAAAATATCAGCTCTTCTCATTTTTAAGCATTTATCGGCTTTTTCTAACTTTTTCAAAAGAGATATTAATCAAAGGTGCCAACTCTTGCTGAATGACTTGTGTTGATATTGTGTTGAGATACGATGATTGATTAAAGCTTTAATGTAAACGGTGCTCCTCCTCTCTGTCCCAGCCTGCGTTGCATAACCGTGTCTCTGCGGGGTGAGCAGCCTTCCCACTCGGACAGTTTTGCTTGCTTATGTTGTGTGACGGTCCGCCCTCAGGATACAGGACCTAAAGTGCCGCAGCCACCAATGCATTCTCCCGTTGATGCTCCTCTCTTCTCAATAAATGTGTTAACTGTGTTAATAAGCCGGCTTGGAGGGTTTAACTTGGACGGCGTCAGATGTGCTGTGCTACACATTTGTGAAATTAACTTCTGGTTCAATATGGGTCGAACATACCTGGTTGAGTTGATAAGCAGGTCAAGTGAATTAAACACTTAGGCGATTTCAACACAAACACATTTTTTATATTCATCGGATGTTTTTAAAAGTTAACTGTTTCTTTTTGAAATCCTGAATTTCGTGACTTTTCATCATTGCTACTTTTACTCAGTGAAATATTTTTTTTTCCCGGCAGTGTAACAAAAACAATATTGCAGAAGTAGTGATTAGATAAAAAGAAAAAGGTGCAATTCATAATTCCAAAAATGTAAAAAACAATGAACACATGCACTGTGTACAGGTCTTTTTGAATGATGGTGAAAGTGTGTTAACATTTTTGTGTGTGTTGTGATGGCGTGCCTATATCAAAGTTGGTGTGTTTGTTGTCTAGTTTTCCTGTGTGTGTGTGTGTGTGTGTGTGTGTGTGTGTGTGTGTGGCCTAGCCTAGCATTACCATCCTTGTGGGGACCTAAATCTGTTTACACAGTCACGTGTGGGGACTCGCCCCCCTTATGGGGACATAATGGAGGTCCCCATGAGGGGAATCATTAATTTTAGGGTGAAGACTTGGTTAGGGTTAGGGTTAGGCATGTGTTGGTTATGGTTAAGGTTAGGATAAGTCTCCAGGAAATGCATGTAAGTCAATGTAATGTCCCCTGAAGTGATGTATACATGGTGTGTGTGTGTGTGTGTGTGTGTGTGTGTGTGTGTGTGTGGCCTAGCCTAGCATTACCATCCTTGTGGGGACCTACATCTGTTTACACAGTCACGTGTGGGGACTCGCCCCCCTTATGGGGACATCATGGAGGTCCCCATGAGGGGAATCATTAATTTTAGGGTGAAGACTTGGTTAGGGTTAGGGTTAGGCATGTGTTGGTTATGGTTAAGGTTAGGATAAGTCTCCAGGAAATGCATGTAAGTCAATGTAATGTCCCCTGAAGTGATGTATACATGGTGTGTGTGTGTGTGTGTGTGTGTGTGTGTGTGTGTGTGTAGCCTAGCCTAGCATTACCATCCTTGTGGGGACCTAAATCTGTTTACACAGTCACGTGTGGGGACTCGCCCCCCTTATGGGGACATAATGGAGGTCCCCATGAGGGGAATCATTAATTTTAGGGTGAAGACTTGGTTAGGGTTAGGGTTAGGCATGTGTTGGTTATGGTTAAGGTTAGGATAAGTCTCCAGGAAATGCATGTAAGTCAATGTAATGTCCCCTGAAGTGATGTATACATGGTGTGTGTGTGTGTGTGTGTGTGTGTGTGTGTGTGTGTGTGTGTGTGTGTGTGTGTGTGTGTGTGTGTGTGTGTGTGTGTGTGTGTGTGTGTGTGTGTGTGTGTGTGTGTGTGTGTGTAGAGGGTCGATGTGTCTGTGTTTTGTGAACAATTTGAAATGCATGCTGAAGGTGTTTGTGGTGTTGTTGCTCTGTGTTTTCTCTGTGTGTGTGTTTTGGGTCTTGTTGCCATGTGCCTTTGTGTGTGTATTTAGCTCCTACATTATACCCTCTATCCACATCAGCATTAGTAGCTGGTATATGAGCGCCATCTTCTGGCTACATGCCGGTACAGAATATTCCTCACATTTAATTTATTTTCTCGGCTATAACAGGGCACCTTAAAGGTCCCCTAATATAGGCCTACTCCTTTTCATCAATATATTATAGGTCTCAGATGTATACAAAACATGTCTCTGAAGTGTTTGGCTCGAAATACCAAACAGATCATACATTGTAGCATCCCATAATCCCCTCTGTATCAGCCTTTATATATACAGTCTATGGTATCAGCCCTGTTTCAGAAGTGCTGATTCTGATCGTAGCTATGCAAATGAGCAAAAACATGACAAATCAGGAACATTTGCACATGTGTCCTCCCAAACAATGATTCATCAATAACCTTTGGCTTATTTCACATAAAAGCTCAAAAAATTTAAATTAAAACTATAATCTTCAAAACAGTCTGGCCAGCCCAAACAAAACATTAATCTTGGGAATTGTAATCTTCATCCCATAGACTCACACTTACTGGACCGCTTCAGTAGAAGAGCCACTTTCAGAATATTAAACTGTAGGGGGCAGCAATATTCATAGAACATTTTTGACTAATAAACATCTGAACTGTACTTGAGTCAGGACTCAGGAGAAGGACATCATTAAATCATTGTTTATTTAAAGCATTGTGTTCCATCTGATCAGAATCTTTACTACAAGTGAGAATACATTTAAACCTACCTACATTGAAACTCCCTTTAAACTCTGCTTAATGACTGTAAGCATGCAGCCTGGTGTGTAAACCTGCTTTAATGTCACTTGATATGCTTTACTGAGTTTTGATTTGCGCTTGCAGTCTCAGGGACTGAAAACCAGTACATCAAATTTGGATTTTGCATCCTAACACAAATCCAACCTCACCCTGCTGACCCTTCTTGTGCTTTTGAAGAGAAGCTGGAATCTACAGTCAAACCCTATCTGGGTTCACTTATAAGACATTTAGCACAAAACAAACCTCTAAAGACACTTGACCATAAAAGGTAGAATACTTTTTTAAATACATTTATATTGAGAGATGTTTATTTTACTAACTATTTCGAAATTTGCCTCAAAATGATGTCTGAGCTGGTCATACAAAAGACAAAATATGGTCTTAGTCATTGTTGGATTTAGTACTGTTTCAAAAAAGGTGTGTAGAACAACACATTGATAAATAGAGTAGCCGTTGACAGAAAAATAATCGCCAACTAATGTGATAAAAAGTAGTAATATATTCTGCTCATTTTCAGGTTCATATTTATTTTTTGTTCCTCTACTGCGACATGTCTCCATGCTTTAATGTTCAAAAAGGTCTTTATTTTTCTCATACTGCCTGTGCTGCAGCATCTCTTTTCACCCTCTGTCTGAAACCAGATGTGAAGATTTCCTGCCGGTCTCTCTTTATGCTATATTTATGGGAGAATTGTTTGATTTGGACCCACAAAATAATATATTTAAGGACATCACCTTGGTCTGGAAACTGGGATTGACATGTTTTACTATTTTCAGACATTTTATAGACCAAATGATAATTTGTTACAAAATAATTTGTGTTTTAATTATAAAAAATACTCACACAAAATACTGTGGGGAACAGTAAATATAATTATCATGTCAATACAATTAGTTTTCCACAAGATGGCAACCTTGCCTTTGTCTCTATGAAAGTTGTCTCCCACTGTAAATGTAGAACTTAACAGTTTTTTCATTTTTTTTATTTTAAATTCTATTTCTGTACATGTTCTCTAAATTAAATACCTTACTTTTTACTGTAAGTACTTCATCATAGGAGAAATATTATTGGCATCTGACTGACTGTATTTACAACAGTTTTGCACAACATATTTTTAGAGGCGAAAATGTAATTCTAATTTCAAACAGAGCAGTGAAATGGGAAAACAAAAGCGACCAATAATTTAGGATGAGGTCACATCAAAAGGCACAACAATTGAAATAGTAATGACAAGATAGGACATGGTAAAATAAAATAAATTAGACCCCTAACATCATTTGGTAAAGGGTTGATGTTTCATCATTCTATTTAAATATGCCACCAAACATTCAATAAGCACAGTTAGAGGTTTGAGTACTTAAGTTAAATAATAATCTATACATAAAATGTGATCTGAACTTGACACAAAATAATTCTACCTATTCATCCAAGCGTCTGCATCTGTCCATCAATTTAATATCACGACTGATCAGTATCCAAATCTATTCGTGTACTGAGTGGGTGCCCATGCCCCGACATTACCTGTCAGCACGTACATGATTTGTTATGGTTTGGTGGATGTCAGATGAGTAGCCTACTGCAATAAATTAAAGTTTACTATCACGGTTCTTTAAAGGTACTCACTTTAATATTATCAGCATTAATATAGCAGCAAACCTGTTGCTGTGTTAAGTTGCAGTGGAGTGATCTCTACTTGAGCAGAGAGAAACTAAGTTTTCTCCCTTTGCATGTGTTGTAATCCGAGCTTCTCTGTGCTTTGTGTACGTAGCTGGGTATGTAGTGCATGTGTGATTTTGCTGTGTCTCAATTTGCGAAGCTCTGTACTTACTTTCGCTATTTTTAGTGCATAAGTGCGTTCAAAAGCAAAATATCTCAAAATGTAGTGCATAATGAGTTCCCGGATGATGCACTCATAACGGTCAAAAAGTTGAGTGTGGAATGCTGGACACTTCTCACACTCATCGATCGCCATCTTGGCTACACAATGGAAGGAACACACCACTATAAAAATACAAGTTATACATGGATTTTTACAGGGTTAATTGAGCAACCTGTAATGATTTACTAAGGCGAAACAATAATGTTACTAGCTAGCTATCTAACAGCGGCAATTGTCACTTCCAGTGACGGCACAGCCACTGTGTGTGATCTGAGACACCACCACACAGTCGAAATTCACACACTGTATACAAGTGTTAACAGCGTACGACATTCAGTGTAGGGGATGTGTCTGAAATGGGACCATGTGCCCTGCTAGCTGCCTAATGCTAATGACCGCCACTCTTCACAGCACTTATGGCGGTTTCTGCTGACATCCCGACTGACAGCATGGTTAGACAATGGTAATGGCCAACCTCCGGTTCCACCGCCAGGTAAATACTGTTAGATCGTTCAGCTATGTTGCCATTGTTTGAACTGTTTGTGAAATAAGCGCCAAGAGATGCCTGCCGTTGCCATGTGGACGCAATGCCTCTGCTCTTAATTCAAAATAACAACCTTAAAAGGTTTCCTATCATGCTATTTTTAGGCATAGGCTATATTATGGGTCTCAGATATATACAAATATATAAAAACATGTCTATGATGTGTTTTGCTCAAAATACCAAACAGATCATGCATTTTAGACATCCCTCATATCCCTCTATGTGAGCCCATGGATGTATAATAAGAACTGGATACAGCGTGGGAGGCGGGGCCTCGTTCATTCCTATGAGAGTTGCTCATTGGCGCATGAAGACAAAATGGCCCAACTTTTGAGAGAGCGAAACGTCACGAAAGTATTCATATAATCATATAATCCGTTCTTATTGTGCATCCATGGGTAAAGGTAAAACTCATGTAGTACTGAACACATCACCTGAACGTGCCGGGCGGCGCGGTCCCGTGGGTTAGATCCGCGCTCATATGCAGAGGAAAATAACTCTCAGAATAACGTTATTAGCACATTTTACAACTTGAGAACCGAATGTTTTTAATAAGGGCTATACAAATGTTCATGGGTAGAACATTTATTTAGTTTTAAAAAAATTATCCAACGATTTACAGACGTCTCTTTCCCAATGTTAGTCAATGGGAAAAAGTATTTCCGGGCCCAGCGACTGATACGGAAGTGTAGTACTGCCGTTTGGCCACAACGAATATTTTCCTCAGAGTCCGGCGCACTTCCTGGGGGCTTGTTTGAGCCCTGTTAGAGAAACGCAGATTTTGGGTCCTTAGCTTGTAAAAAAAATGCCTGCTCAGAAGTACCCAGCATATACAGTTAAATTCTGAGGTGATTAAACGCCATCATGTTCCAAACCACATCAAGCATTATTTCTGAAACAGTATGGAGCTCAAATGCTTTTTCTCTTGCGGGTTTACCACAAGGTGAGTTCCTTTTTATCCTGCTTCTTTACACACACTCTCTCCAGTACAGGTTAGCTCTGAGTGTTAGCGATGCTTGCTAATGTAAACAAAGATCATATTACATCCAAAACACGTCAGGCATTGTTTCTGATAGCAACTTTCTGATAGTGCCGTGGGTCCACATGTCCGATATGACGTAATTTACGTCATATAAGACGCAAATCTGGATCAGCTCCATTGTACCCCCGTTTTTAGAGATTTGGGTACGGAGGAAAAGAGAGAGGGTTTTATTTGCTGACATTTTTTGAGTTCCCTGACACACTGGGGACACATATTTATAAAATACATCAAAAAGTGCACTTTGCATGATAGGTCCCCTTTAAGGCAGAATAGTTTTAAGACTTGGATTTTTGACACTAGGAATACAATTAACTTTAAGGGGAGTTTTAGCGCTTACCGAATTTGTGGGAAATGAATGCAAGATGGAATTGGTAAATTACTATTTTTCAAAAAAGAAATCAACTGATTACTTTTAAAATGCTAAGTAAATGCAAGAAAAAGAAAACTAATTATTAAATCCTGACCATGTCTTAGCATTTTTAAGACTTTTTGAAAACAACATCAATACTACTGAAGCCTTTTTTTTTAGATTATCAATTCAATGACTTTTAAGATTTTTGAAGGATCTGTGGGAATAATGTATACACTTAAAGCTTGTTAAAATGATCATTTTTGGTAAAATAACCTCCTCCACTTCCTGCTTCAATCTTTTGCAAATGATTGTTAAATGTCATGCTTTTCCGGTTATTACCCGTCCCCTTGTGTGCTATGAAGGTTTTTATGCATGTAAACGGTCTGCAGAGTCAAAACCCCTCAAAGTACACCCTGTAGCGAGTAAAACTCTAACACAGAAAAGACCTGTCTATGCTGCCCCAAAACGCCTCGTTGGAGATTTCTCATTTTCCATTGTTTGCTTCCTGGGTTCTGTGACGTGTGAACACCCAAATCAACAACAAATGACCAATCCGCGGAGCACCTCACACACCAGGATCCCTTGGCTAACTAGCAGGGAGTCCCCATTGACTTGCATAGAGCTCCCTGAACGCTGGTAATAGACAAGTTGGGATCGCGGAGAAATGCTCTCCGCAGACCCATTATAACAGCGTTATAAACCTTTTTCTTACTCAATATCAAGCCACACTTATTGTTTTTACTTCGGCTGTGAGTGTTTGTGTGTGCTCAGGATGAGTTTCGCTTGTTCTCGCTGTATCGCCGACCCGGAAACCTGTCCGCTCCTCGCAGTAGCTTGCAGCAGCGGCGAGCAGCAACGAGCCTCGCAACGAGCCTCGCAACGTCCCGACCAATCAGAGCACACTGGGCTCACAGGGAGGGGGGGGGGCAGGAGCTCCAACAAGCCGTTTAGGACAGAGAGTGAATACCTGGTGAATACACATACTATACAGAGATGCTGTATGAGAAACCAATGTGATTTTGGAAAATTGCACAATTTAAATCTATTCTAGTAGACCTCAACAATGGAAATATGATCAGTAGAAATGGCCATGACATGGGACCTTTAAGGCTGGAATACTTAAGCCTCTTTAGATAAATACTTGTTTCCTGTGTATGGCAGTACTGATGTGATATTGTCATCAGGCCTTTGTCTTTCAGAGATCACACTCAGTCACCTCATCGCCACCACGGTAGTAAGTTATCATATCCTCATTGTGCATTGTTTGCAGATGACGCAGCATAGATTTAGTGGTAGAGGTCCATGTTGACTAAAATAGTGTGAATCACTCCTGGCAGAAGAATCAGTGCTAATGCAATTCTCTCTCATTTCCTCTCATCAGCACAAATTAGATCAGAAGCTCTGAGATGTAAAAGCTAATGTGTTCGGACTGCTGGTGATTTCCCCCTGAACTCACCCTCAGCTCCAGCTAACTACTACATTACTCACACCACTTCCACTTCCCATTACTCCTCGTGTCATGTGCTCGCGAAGGATCAGACTCCAGGAGATGACCTCATGTGTGGGTGCGAGTGACTATGAATGCTCCTTTGAGACATTTTAATTGTTCCAAGCTTTTATTTTGGTTTTAGCTATGCCACATATTTACTGGTTTGATATATATATATATAATGCCACATCTTATTCTTAGAGAGTCTGGGTTTTACTTAGAGGGTTTCTATATGTGGGACACTAGATGTACCATCCTACTATTTCTACAAATAACTGGATTTATCACTTCTTTACTTTTTTGTATTTATAAACAGCTTTGTTCTGAACTGTGTAATAAAAATGTACAGGTTTGATCATGGCCTGATTAACCAGCTATATAGGGGGCCTTGGGGAAAACATTTCTTGATGGGTCCCTCTTGGCTTAATCTGTAGGGACTTGGTATTTGAACCTAAGGGTTGCCAGTTCTCCTCCCAATCGGACCAGTGTGGACTGGTAGCTGCCAGTTCACCTCCTGGTCACTGCCGAAGTGCCCTCGAGCAAGGCACCACCACCACTCCCCGCGCGCTGTACAATAGCTGCCCACTGCTCCTTGTACTAGGATGGGTTAAATGCAGAGGTCCAATTTCGCTGTGTGTGCTCTACTGAATATGCATGTGTGACAAAATAAAGAGGGTTTCATCCTCCAATTCTTCTTCTCAACCCATTTACTTTTGCAGTGTATACAGTTTTTCTATGTTGGGATTTAAATGTATTTCAGGAATATGAAACATTGGAGCGAAAACTGAAAACAGCAAATGTTTCAAAATCATGCTATTAATACATGGACCTTCCTCAGGACAATTGGTTATCCAGCCTTGGGTAATTTGATATGGCAGGGGGACCATTGAGTGAGAAGAGTACAATTATTTACTTTAGAATCTCTAGTAAATAAAATAATAGTCAAATTAAACAGCATTTTCTTTATTCTGCATTCTCAGTTACTCCTAATGCAGAGCATTGCTTCTGGCTCTCTCTCTGATGACATCAGTAAGTAGCCTACTGGCCCCTTCTACTATCTTCATATTTATTATTAATACATTACAAACAGATGTAAGTCCACTGTGTGAATAGACTCAGAGTGTTGTATTAGCATATGTTCAGTATTTCTATAGAGAATATTACCAATATTCAAATCCCCCACTTCTATATTACACTACTTATAGCAACATATTTTGACACTTTGTTATATCGTATTTACCGCAAAGTAGCACCTCTCGTTGTCGTTTGGAAGCACACAGACAGAGCACCGGCCTGGCTGTAACACCACTAGCATCACTTCACCTCTCCACGTTTCCAAGTAGCTGCCAGTGGAGAGCCACATCCTCTACTCTCGCTCATTGGTGACACGAGACGCCCATCACGCGGAGTCAGCACCGGGGCATTCCCTTTCCGCATGCTCTGTCGGAAATGGACGACTTTTCCCTTTACTCCATTGGACTGAGCCGCTGTCAGTCGGTTTCCATCACGCGTAACACCGTCCGCCTCTCCGGGTCTCTGTCTGCTGAGACCGCCGTCATATTGGCTGCTAGAAGCAGCAGCGACCACGGTAGAAAAGAAGACCCCCACCATGACGAAGAACGGGTTTTCGCGGCTCCAAAAGAATAATATATATTTTTAAAGATATTTGATTAGTATTTAACGAATTCATTTTAAAATATCGGGATGATACCGTCAAGTTTTCGCGTACCTTCAGTGCTTTCATCTGACACCGTGGTCCGCAAGGGGGATGTATGCCTGACTTCTCTTAATAGCCATTTTTTGCAGACAAAGAGAGCTGTTGAATAGGGCTTTCAAACGGCAAAAGGGTAAGATATGAATTCGAGAAACACACCACTACTTGTCAAGCATGCGACCATTGGCTACTCTGCATATTCAAGCACTACAGCAATGCTTGAATTATTTGTGTATTTTTTGGGGTCGCTTTTTCACAAGCTAAAATGCTAACCTCGCTAGCTGGTTGGTTAGCCGAAGCTAACTAAAACGCTTGAAACTCCCATTCTAGGAAATGCTAACAGTTAGCATTTTTGACAGCTCGTAAGCCTGAACCGCAAGTTAGCGAAGCAGTCTGGATTTAGAGCTAAGATAGTTTTATGTGTGTTTCCAACCAGCATAGGGTAGTTTTGTTTTTTTCCCTCAAAAATATAATCATATTTGACTGAAGTCAAAAAGCAAACATGGCAAATGTGAGCCTAGTTAACGTTATCGTCGCGGCTACATTTAGCGGTGTGTTGGGATTTGCTGTGGATGGTTAACGTGTTAGCAAGTCCGCTAACTTGGCTCAGAGCAGGGAAAAGTGGGGCCTCAAGAAACGTAAAGGCCTTTCTATAAACCAGATATAATAACGTCAGATCGGTCGTGGTGTTGCCTTTTATTGACATTAAACTGGTGCTAATGTCTAAAATATGGCATGCTGTTAAACGTTAGTATAATGAAATGTTACTGTCCACGTCAATCTGTATAAATCAAATTATTACAAAGGCAGTTTGGTATGGTAGGGATGGATTAATGTAACGTTAGTTAACATGAACTCCATAAAGCGTTTGTCTTAAAATCCAAGTTACGGTATATTATTCAGTTCATTTCAATTGACTTACTTAGTTTTCTGCCTGATTTGAAATTGTTTTTAAATGATTACTCAGTGCACATTACTAATAAAGTGCAGAGTAATGATTATAAAAAAACATGGCATTGTCAATGCATAACAATGCAATATTTAGTTGCACAAATATGTATTACTGTGCATATTTGTGCCTCTATCTGAAAGTAAGATTTTTTTCTAACCCAAAATGCATTCTGATGAAGAAAAAAGTGAAAAGTTTGCAGTAACTTGTCTATTTTTAAGTTTTTGCTGCTGTGATTCGAATTATAAGACTAATCTGTAAGACTGTGATTTATCTGTCATTTACATACCCTGTGTTGCTTTCTGCCATCCCACATATCTTTCAGCATGCAAAACGCTGCAAATATCTCATTAACTCTGGTTTGGTCTGAGCAGAGAAGGCGTCCTCTCTTAATCTTGTCTTCTCTACAGCCCTCTCTCAGATCAGTATGATCCCAGGAGAATGGGTGTGTTGGGCTGCCGAACAGCAGAAGTAGCCTAGTTCTGTTTTAAGGCGGTTGTGGACTGGATCACACTTTTTGGTGTGGCCATTGTTATCCATGGCAACAGCATATTTAATCAGAATATTTAATTCTAGGGCAGAAATTGGCAATATGAAATGCATTGGTGTCCTGCTGGAGACAATTTAACTTTCAGGTGGTAACATAACAAAATTGATTTAATCTTGATTATAACATTGACATTTTGGAGTGAAGCACCAAAACAGTACATGCAACCATGTAGGGAACGTATGCGTTTTCAACCATACTGCAATTAAAGTCTGTTTTGGAGTTGTTTCTTGATTTGTAATAATAATGGACTCCAGCCAACGAAGCAGATTAGCTAACCAACACTCTGGAAGTGTATTTAGCCGTTAGTGGTCCTTTTTAGGAATTTCAACATCTAACTTTTAATTGATTAAGCATTAAGAACATTTTTGCCCCGTTTCGCATATCGCAGGCGAGCTCCATGCCCGGTGTGTTCAAAACAGCTGGACGTCACAGAGTGTGCGACCTGATCAAAATGCAGTAAAGCTAACAAAAAGTGACATTAACATTTAATTAAATGTTAAGCGCTACAAAATGCTGCGTTAAAGCCTATTGTGTCAATAGTCAATGAAAGCACCCCTTATATTTTCCGTCATTTTGCGTTTTATTTTTCTTACAAATTACTGGGTAATGAGTTTTGAGACATTTTACATTTTTACTCGTATAGACCAATTTTCATGGTACTTTAAGCCTTTCATTGTGCTCACTTGTAGGGTTAATCGTCTGAATTCTTTCTTTTTATTATCAGTTGACAGTGAAGCCTTAATGCATGTGTGTGTCTAAAGTGGACATCCTCATAGCAGTCTGATAAATACTGTTATTGTGTAATTCTGGTATAATCCAGCTTGTGGTAGCTAAGGATATGCTACTTTATTTGTTGTATTCCTGTTCAGGGACCTCCATTATTGCCTATTTGTAATGGTTTTATTGTTAAACTGTGGGAACTACTTTAGCACCATTTAAGTTTTAGAGACCTTGCCCCCTATTAGCTCTTAGTCTGGGTCACTGGAACTTTTCCTTGTTTGTGTTTTTGAGGCGATTAGCAAACTGAGGGATAAAACACAGCAACCCGGATGGAAAATCCGGCCTATCGAGATGTAGCTGATATAACGTTAGCCTCACAATTCCAGTTCATCTCAGAGGAAAGACAGCAGGGTGTCAGATGCCGGTTTAGATAGATAGTTCAGTGTTTTTATATTCGCAGTTAGGAATCACTTCTTGTGTTGGCAAATGTAGGTTGCGGCTGGTAAGACTTTGTGCTCCAACAATAACTTTGACAAATGAGGGACACTTGTTTGCATGTTTGGCTTTCCAAAATCGAATTGGCTGGACAAAAAAGTACATTTTAAACCATGTTGATCCTTTTAGCAAGAAACCTTCCCTTGCCTGTCTCGGTTAGGCCAAAAATGATTTTATAAAGAGTTGTCAACATTGCACTTACTCTGCAGCGTGTGGTATTGTGGTAGAGATTAACTGCTTTAGTTTTAATTAGGCAGATTGTAGTCATTGTTCTAGTCTAGAATATCAGCACACTTACACATTTGATTAACATTAAATTCCAGTATCAAAATAGTTTGCCAATTTATTGTATTTTCATTGTCTGATTGGTTATTGAATATTGTTTTGCAGCATCTTGAATAGCATTAGCTTGTTCATAATTTACTCTGTTGCCATGACGCGAGGAACTATAATCAGACCCTGTGTTGTTTTACATGTAACACGAATAGAACAATAAAAGGTGTTGCTTACCTTAATGAGGTAAACTGGTGGCAGCTCCTCTTGCATGCATCTAACCAGTTCATGGTGACTGCAGCTTTCACTATTGCTCAGTATCCTACTATTTCATTGACCATGTAGGGGTCGATTATCATAAACATCTTTTCAATTGAGTTATGCCACATGTAAAAGGATTTGCAGAATCAATTATTTCATTTAATTTCAAACCTTTATTTAACCAGATTGGTCCCATTGAGATCATAGATCTCTTTTTCAAGGGAGACCTGCAGCATATAGGTTCCACATGAAACATAAAACAATAAAGGACATCATACATTATATTTACAGGATACATTTACATAGTTATAGACATTTACAAGTACCCATAGTATCAACGAGCATTTCATTTAGCCTTTGATTTGATTTGATTTGATTTGATTGTGCATGCACATTTTTTTACCAATTTTCCTTGTTTTGACAAAGCAATTAATTATAAAAATAAACATAGTTAAATTTAATCTAAATCTAACAAAAAAAGTATTCATTTCGGCTTTATGTTACAGACAGGGGGGGAGGGTTAGGGTAGGCTGAATCTCATCTCTGATTGCATCAGCTATACCAACTACATAGTTATAGTATACAACAGCATTTAAAATATAAGTTCATTCATCTGACATTCATGCAGAAATTGAAAATCGAATTAATAAGCATAATGTAATTAAATCTATTTGCAAAATTGCTCCTGGCCACAGCTTGCAGCACTTTATCAACTGCAGAGTATTTTGGGAGTTAGTTTGCAAGTGTGTGTGTGTGTGGGTGTTGCAGTGATGACATGGGATTCATTTTTTATAGCAGACTTAAAGTTTAAAACATATTTGAAACAATTATTGCAAATTCATTTTATTGATTGTACTTTGTACCAACCTTATTGTTATAACTTGAATTTGCAGCAAACCGATGCTACTACTGTGGGATGGAATCCATCAGGGAAATGATTCTTAACACCGAACAAGTTTTCTCAATTTGTATTTGATTTCTCTTGATTTTATTTGTTAAAGTCTAACATCACTGTGATTAATTTCAAGCCAATGGTGATGAAAATCTGAATTTCTGTACAAGTACTTCTGAGAGCATAAGGAGGACGTCTAAGGAATATGACAATGTGCAACACTTATCGAGGCTTATTATGCAGATGTCCACAGAACATGAGTCATGTAAGATACATTTGTCGTATCAAAAGATGTTATTTTGTGGGCAACGTATCCCATACTTCATAACATGTCAGTCAAGTGGAGCGACGTCATATGTTGTTTTGAGTACAAAGCCAGTCAATGTGGGGAATGACAGTGACGTCATGAGTTTGTTAGTGATAGCCTTGGAACTGCCTTCAGCAATTCCACTTAATCTGCCACGTGCTCAAGACCACTTTGTTTCCTGTGCATCAAAGAACCCCTGTCTGTCAGCGCTGATTGTGCAAAGACATCGTGTCTTTTTGTCAATGTTACGAGACAAACTTGAGGCAGATCAACAAGATGTATGTAAGTCAGATAGCTGCTTTTAGCCCAAAGGCAAAAAAGAAGTGGGAGGGAAAGAGACGGAGGGTCCAAAATCCTTTTGTTGTGTGCCTTTAGTTCATTGAATAGCACAATTAATGCTGACAGGGTTACTGATTCACATTTTCAGTGCATTTTCTTTCAAATACTGTACATTGTGCAGCTTGTGCTGATGGATATAGCCAATGTTTGATTTAATCAGTTACAACTCAAGTGATACATGTCCAAATGCAGTATTGCAACTTATTTAAGGAAGTAATAGCTAAAACTTACATGTTACAAAGTGATTGTTTCTGGATATTTCGCATATTTGCAAGTTATTCAAGTATCTTATCATTTGATGCAGTGATATGGGTTTTTCTAGCATTTGTACCCCAATAAATCCAGAAACAGTGTCTGAGTTAGGGAAAGAAATGCTGCATTTTTTTTTATTCCTCCAGTGTTTTGTGTTCTACAGACCACCTACCTGTGGTGACTTCGCTCCCTATAAAATTAGCAAAATCTGAACGCAGTTTGGTGCTGCTACTTCCAAATCCCTGTCAACATGCTAGTAGAGTGTAGCGGTGTATAAAAGTGTGTGTGCATGTGCGTTATCTGCTTCTGCCACAGGGAACGTTTTTGGTCAGGTCTAGACTGGCTCTGTAATACAGTACATACCAGCAGATCCTGGGTTCATTTATAGCCGTGGCCTTGTGTCCCTGCATGTCTGCCTGGCAACTCCTAACTCTGCTGTTCCAACTACTCAAGCTCACCCACCTCTCAAACACTTTGGCCCCGTTATACACTCACCATGTCAAATTACTAGATACACAGTAGTCTGGGGGATTTAAATGGAGGACATTCTTTAGAACCCTCTGTATTAAATGTTTCGAGTCTTCGTCACCTGTGATTTAATCTGTTCTGTCTCCTGTTATCTCCAGGTCCGAGGGGCTCCTATTGATGAAGAAAGTGGGCAACATGTGGAGCAACCTGAAGAGCAGATGCCAGACACTCTTTCACAACAACAGCTCAGAACCCAGTGAGAGCAGGGTGGAGGCCGATGGCGTCCACTGTGTGGTGGAGCTTGGAGGTAGCTCAGGTGAGGCGGAGGCATCAGGATCCTCCAGCCCATCCCGGAGCCTCCTGCCAGTGCCGATGGTCACAGCAGGACGGCGCCATCACAACTGTGTATCGGACATCCCTCAGATAGTAGAGATTACAATTGACAAGGACTCTGAGGATGTGAGGGGGGGATCAGGTGGTGTTCCCCTGGCCCGAAGAGACTCATATTCCCGTCATGCTCCATGGGGGGGCAAGAAAAAACACTCGTGTTCCACCAAAACCCAGAGCTCTCTGGAGACGGACAGGCGGTCCGGGCGCCTGCGGGGGAGCGGGAGCCGCAGGGACCGGCGCTATGGAGTCAGCTCCATCCAGGAGATGAGCGACTCCGTATCCGGAGGACGTAGTCTGAACGGCCGCTCTCTGCGCCAGCGGCTCAGTGACACCGTCGGGCTGTGCTTACCCCTGCCCGCTCGCAGACGCCCCCGCTCATCTAAGAACCCCGTCACCTCCAAACGTAAGATCCACCTGACGGAGCTCATGCTGGAGACCTGCCCCTTTCCACCGGGCTCCGACCTGGCTCACAAGTGGCACTTGATCAAGCAACACACAGCACCGGTCAGCCCGCATTCCTCCACAGCCCTGCTGGATGCCTTTGACCCCGCCCACCCATCACCTGAGGACGAGGAGGAACGCCTGCGTGAGCGCCGAAGACTTAGCATCGAGGAAGGTGTGGACCCTCCACCTAATGCACAGATCCACACCCTGGAGGCCTCAGTGCCGGGCTCCTCTCTCTACAAACTGGGACCAAAGTTGGCTCCTTGCACCGGAGAGGCCTCTGGGGAGGGACGGGCGTCAGGGGGCTGGCAGCTCTACGGGCAGCTCTACGGGCGCCGGATCATCGGGGGCCTGTGCACAGGTGTTGGGGGCTGTGGTGTCAGCTCAGGACTGTGACTCAGAGGAGGATTCCACCACCCTCTGTCTGCAGGCCAGGAGGCCCAAGCAGAGGCACGCCTCTGGGGACGGTCACCTGAGCCGGCAGCAACCCGGGCCCTGGAAGGTTCACACTCAGATAGACTATATCCACTGCCTGGTGCCGGACCTGATGCAGATCACAGCTCTACCCTGCTACTGGGGCGTGATGGACCGCTACGAGGCCGAGGCGCTGCTGGACGGCCGGCCTGAGGGCACCTTCCTGCTGCGAGACTCCGCCCAGGAGGATTACCTCTTCTCCGTTAGCTTCCGCCGTTACAACCGCTCCCTGCACGCCCGCATCGAGCAGTGGAACCACAACTTCAGCTTCGACGCTCACGACCCTTGTGTTTTCCACTCTTCCACCGTCACAGGACTGCTGGAGCACTACAAGGATCCCAGCGCCTGCATGTTTTTCGAACCGCTGCTTACTGCGCCTCTCCATCGGACCTTTCCCTTCGGCCTGCAGCACCTGGCACGAGCCGCCATCTGCCGCTGGACCACTTACGATGGTATAGGCTCTCTGCCGCTGCCCCCTGCCCTGCAGGACTTTCTCAAGGAGTATCACTATAAACAGAAAGTACGAGTTCGCTGGCTGGAGAGGGAACCGCAACTCAAGGTCAAATAGGGTGGGCTTCTCCATTGCCTGTACACACACACTGCAGGAGGATTACAGAACTTAAAAAATTCTTCATCAGCCAATTAGAGGCTATATTAACATGGCTCTCTGGTGAGGGGTGGGATTGAAATGTAACAAGCTATACAAGATTCATTCTAATCTTTGTTTTAGTTATTACTTACATCACAGAAAATACATATGATTATATTCAGTATAACGCTGTCTGGCAAGCACATGTTTTTGTGTTGAACAGGTTGTTTTGACAGGGAGGGAAGGCACAGATATCAGTGCTTTGTGTCTTTGCTCTCCTGCTTTGTGCTAAATGTCTGCCTGATCCCACAACATCACCCTGCCTGTAGACCTGCCTGCATGCCTCCCTTACTCATCGCAATTTGCTATTTAGGCCCACATGGCTACATTGTAAAGTTCACTTTGTGATTTCTCAATTTTTTTTCTTCCTTAGCTTGTCGAAGCACCTAGCGTAGCACCTTCCCGACAGGGTTTTAAGGTGTGTGTGGGTTGAGAGGGCATCTGGAGATGCGTTTTGATTTATTGCAGTCAGAGCTTGTCCCATGGATGGAGCTTCGTAAGGCACATTCTTTGCCACCTCTTTGCACACAATGAGCATCAGCTAAGCCAGGGGCAGATTCTCAGAGGGTCCATGAGTTCAGGACAGCACATCAGGGAAATGAAGTGCTTTTAAGTACTACAGATTAGTCCTTTGAAAAACAGTACTTCCTCCTAAGGCAGTAATAGTAAATGATGAATCCGTCAACTGTGTCCTATTTAGTCAGCAAGCTGAACTTTATTCCCACTGTGCAGCATTGCTTTCAAAACGAAATATGTTCTCCCATCGGTCCCTTTTAACAATTACCATTGTTACAGTTGTCACATCAGTCTGTTCATTCTTCATTAGCCACAGATGCTTCCGCTCTGAGCGCACAGTTCATTTCATCTTGTATGAAATGAAGCTCTTTGACACTTGTAACACTGTTGCTTTGAACATTTGTTAGAGTAAGGAATACTAACACGTCTTCGCAGGAATTGAAAGCACGTGTGATGAGCTGCAAGTGAGACAAAAAGATGGAGTTTCGATTTTAAAACATGGATGAATTGATCTGCTCAGGCTTGTCTGGGAATACGCTGTCTCATGAGAGGACACCATATTGTCATGCATTGGGGAGAACTTAGCAAGAATCTGCTTGTTGAAATCATAAACACTCACGATTTGATTGCATTACATTTTCCTACTTAATTTATATTTCTTGTATGAAACCATTTAAAATAGTGTTTTTATGAAAAGCACTGCGTCACTAACAGGAAAGAGGTGATGTAGCCTTTAGGACTTAATGTCCCCTACTTTACAACTTTATTAATATATAAGGTTTAGACACTAACAAATCCCCTTATTGCCCAGTCGCATTATAGTCATAGCAATAGCACTAAAGGCTAACACTCGACTCTGGAGAGGTTGGCATTACTCAGAGCTTTAGTTACGTCATCTGAATAATTTTAGTTGTTACTTGGGACAAAAACACTGCTGCTGGCAAGCCGGTCATTTCCGTTTGGTTCTCATTTGGAGGGGAGAATAAGTGTACCCTATGTGCCTTTTTAAGAGAACCCTTTATCTTATTCCATAATCAGTTGCTTTGCAGTCCAACCTGCAGCAGGAGGGACTGAAGAGAACAACAATGAAAAGGTGCATGAGCTCCAAGCTCACTTACTTATGGTGCACGTTCAAGTTTTTGATAACATTTCAGCGGTGCTATGTTGGATAAGCTATGACGGATTATTGAATCGATAACTTGTTCATTAGTTCAATGTGTTTTCACTCGCTAAAGCATGCAGTTTTCTCCCAGTTATCGTAGTATTAGTTTGTTAGTGGGTCCAATGCCAGCCCTACTGTAGCATATTGAAAGATATGAATGTCTAATCTGCAACATCTGGACATACAGATCAGAAGAAAGTGTACGATTTGAGTTAGTTTTGATCCAACCTCTTATGAAAGATGTCAGCAATTAGGTTTAAACTTATTGAGAAATAGTATTTGTTTATTTGTTATACTAAAAACAATACACATCACTTAGTTTAAAAGAAATTGAATTACTTTACGATTTTGCACATGACTTTGGGGGAAGACCAGCAGCCCTTGTGGCATGTTTTTTAACAAATATGATCACAGAATGCCACCAGGTGATGTGTATAAACTCATATGAAAGCTCAAACACACATTGAAATCAGTTCTCAAACTAGTTAATGTTTTAGTTTGTGTGTACGCATCAGCCCATGTTTTAGAGAATTGTAGTTCTCATCAGTGAGGATGAATCACGAACAAATGTTTCCCATGAATATCTGAGCCTGTGACCAAAGCTCTTGCTACACATCTATGTGTAAATAACTAGTCGTATTTCAAACCAGTGAAAGCTAGCTCCACACTACAGTATGTTCGACAGCTTTTATTTATTCAGAACCTGGCCCTGTCGAGCTCACACCTACACACTGAAATTAACGCCAAATAAAAACCTTCCCCCCGCCAAACCATTAACGTGTTTTCACTCGTTAGTCAGGCAGGAAACAAGACACATTTTATGCAGGTGCTAAAAGATAATTGCTGTAGGTTAACATGTCTCATATCTCCCTAACCCATTGTAATGTTCTCCCCTGCATTGTGAACATTTCTTCACGTAAGAGTCCCGATCATTTTCCGTTGCCCTGCACTTTGTTCTCAGAAAGCTTGAATATCGCGTATGTGTTAGGAGTGGCAGGAGTGAGTGTTGAGCGGAGGAGGGGAATAAGGTAGACATTTGCTTGTATGTGCACTTTCTGGATTTTTTAGTATCCACACTGTCGAGTAGAAGAAATGAAAACCCACACACATTAGCTCACTCTCACCTGTCCATCATGCTCCTGCAAAGCAATAACATCCTTTACAGTGACCCGCCCCCCCCTTGCAGGCACTAATCACAGGCTAATTTTACCATGTTAAATTTACCGGGTACTAAAAGGGCCACTCTGTGTTGCCTTATGGCTGCTGTGTGGCTGAGGGAAGCCTTTTTTATTTGTATTATTCTATCCAACTGCTCTCCCTCCATCTGGCCACATCCCTCACATCACTGTGCTGATGTGGAGGGGGGGTCTTTATCAGACCCCATGTTAACATTAAGGAGGAGGAAAGATGGCTTCCTGTTGTGGCTCACAGAGAAGGCTCGGGATTCGCTGAAGTAAATAGCACTTTAATCGTGTAATTGTGTTCTACAGTGCAGTCTGGAAGTGTGCGGACAGTGACACGTTTCATCGTATTGGCTCTTTACTCTGGCATATTGGACCTAAACTAAAAGAAGTTATCCTTAGTGACAACTATATCCACATTGCTGTATAAATGTACCTCTTTCAGAGACTTAAGTCATCATATTTAGTATTTGTCTGCTCTGGTGGTGTTCTGCCAATTATAATCTTCAATTATTGTAACTGATATTGCGATATGATTCATATCAGTGGGAACGCTCATGTTTGCATTGTAGTAGAATATAGTTTGACAGGATTCGGACATTGCAATAGTCCGTATGGAAAATGCGATACAATTCTGATGAATTGTTCAGCCCTACTGCAAGGCTTTTATTCTTCAGTCTTACTTGTTTTGGTAAATATAAAAATATCCTCAGGTGGACTGAAGTCAGGTGACTTGGCAAATCATAGATATTCTGTCTTGGCCCCTTATTGGTCATCTTGTCTGTATGTTAATGATCATTGCTTTACAATACTTTTGGGTGGAGGTTTATACATCCAAGATGGTTATAATCATTCAAACAACACTAAAAGCGCTTTAATCTTTATTTTTAGCTGTCAATTGTAATCCAATATGCTGCACTACAGAGCCCAAACTGAAAATGTCCCAACTGTCCAAATCTCTTATGGACTGCACTGTCTGTGTTTTAGCTGAAAATGGCGAGACTTGTGTGAGTGTTAAGCAAAGAGCCGGCGGTCCTGAGATATTTCACTTTATATTCAGGCATTGTGGCGACGGAGGTGTGTTCTCCACCATGTGTTGTGTGGGGGTGTATCAGTGTAACGGACAGAGCCACGCGGAGGGTTCCAGTGGAGGGAGGACGCAGAGTGGACTGTGAGGGGTGATGACAGTGACTCCTATGAACAAAGCCTCTCTGCCCAAAAAACCCTTTTATTCTCAGGCAGGCCCATTGCAAGGAGAGTCCCAGGACTCTCTCGACCCAGTTTTCCCCATGGGAAATATCTGACATTAACCGTAGCACATGTTTGCCATATAACCCGTAGATTTAGGAGGAGAAAAAAAAACATTGTATGTATGATGAATGATGGAGTAATCTAATAGGTTGAAAATAAGTTTTAATCTTCTGTGGTGCATTAACTGTCTGGAACACAAAACATTTGCACACATATGCTATCACACTTCTTCTGACACCTGCACTACCCCCAGTATAGAGTGGTGTAGTGATGATGTTTTCTGTTAGCCAAACCCGGAAGCTAGCATCACAAGCTCTCTCGACCAAAAGCAATGACATATTTCCATTGCAGAATTTAAGATTTGTGCTAAACACACATTTATGATACTTGCACACTTTGTTCAGCAGGTTAATTTTTACATATTAACAAGACTTGTATTATATTTGAAGTATAAATTCAATCCCTATAATGAAATGGCTTACCTAAGGCTATAAAAAAAACTGGCTGGACATTTGGCCGTGTGTCACAACCGCTAAGCTTAAGGTGGCTACTATTCGTTTAGTCGTCCCGTTTAGCCATTTGTTAGCAGCCACCAAGCATAAAAGCATCAGAAATTCACAAGTGGGGAATTTTATTGACATCGTTGAACAAAATGTGCAAATCTCTTAAGCTTGTGTTAACCACAGACAGAAAAGTTTGAGACGAGGGAACCCAAACATGCTAAAATGCTAACTAATTTCTGAGTTTTAAGACTCCTGCACCACTCTATCCACACCCTCCCACCACCCCACCCCTAAAGCCAGGGATGTGTATAACATGGACCACATTTAGCCAGCACCACCTTTCTGTGTTACTCCCCGCCACCACCCCCCCAAAAAAAGGGAGAGCAAAGACTGGTGTTTACGTGTATATTCTATGTTCTTAAGGAAAAAAGACTAAATTGCCGTGAACTATTTTGACCTTATATTGTCATTAGTATGACACTATTTAGCTGCACTATGAGAGCCTCGATTGTGGCGAGAAACCACTGGGTCTGGTCTGGTTTGAGACGCTAGCTGTCCCACTAAACTACAGCAACACCCCCCGCATGAAGGACTCCTTAACCACCCCCCTTCCTCCACCACCACCTAGGTACGACTCATGGTTTCAGCCCTTAGAGGACAAACAAAACAAAAGATATTTTAAACCTTTTTTTTTTTTTTTCATGTTCCCATATTTTAGAAAGCTGAGTTAAGTGCTATATGCAAACAGAAAAACATGTATGAAAGAATTATTATTTTTCATTATTACTTCTCCCTAATATGCAATGGAGTGTAGTGTAACAATGGTTGCAATCGTCTGTCACTTTAATGCTGTACGTGCACATTGGTTGCTGTGTGGATGTGGGTGCCGAGGCAACAGGACTTGACAATGATGGGAACTAATGGTTGTCACTCCGCAGCACCGCCGTGTTCCCAGACCGCCTTATTCGTTCTGACCAATCACAAGAGCCCTCCTCTAAAGTCCCGGGCCGCAGCCACTGCCACAGGCCGAGCAAGCTGTCGTCAGACGAATATCGCCGTTCCATTTCTTCTTCTGCTTTTCCTTGCTTTTATTTTTCTTTCCTTACCCTTTTTTTTCTTTACTTCTGCTGTCAGGTAGGATTTGGAGCGTGTAAATGGCATAATCATGTTTCACATTTCACTGTCTGTTCCGTGTATCTGCTTCACCATTCAAAGAGAAAAAAAATACAGTTGTTTTCCAGTATAACCTGTTCATTTTAAAGAGCCGTATGATGCGACACTTGTAGCTGTCACTCTTGGTGCTTGGCTTACGCTTCATTGTCTTAATATTCCAAATAAAACTGTTAAGTGTAATCCACACTGGCCCATGATATAATATTGACTTTGGCTTTTCTTTCTTTACTGTGTACTTCTTTTGGTGTCCTAGCAGTGAGTTGGGTGTGATTTGGTTAGAGTTTAGGGTGTGAGTGTGTTTGATTGTTGTGGATCAGTGAAACCAAATCTCATCATACAGTACAAGCAGTTTCTCCTACCAAGTTTCCAACCTGACATCTCCCTTATATCATAAACTGATTGACAACTGGCTGAGAAATCTTAATGCAATAACTTCGGGTGATTTCCAAAAAGCAATATAACTTTATAAAATCAGATATGACACAATGCAATATACTGTTAAAATAATGAGACCTACATCTCACCACTTGGGGTACGAATATTTCCTTATCAGCTTTATGCACTGCCAGTGATTTAAAGACTTAAATATCAACTAGAAGCACTCATTGTTATCACCCTACAAAAACAATTCTAGGATCAAAATCCTCAATTTGAATAAAGTGATTTATCATATTAAATGAGTTTGCCTTTTAAATTAAATAAGTTAACACAAATACACATAGGCAGCAGTCTTATTGAATATGCTGTTATATTGCATCTAGAATGCCACGTTAATTCAGGTATTTGGGGTAAAATCCCCACATCAGTTAAGAACATGTAAAGAATCTTTATAAATAATATTCTTTCTACCCTTTTTTTTTTTTTTGACTGAAGACCAGTTACATTTTGGATCACAGGAGTCAGGCACCGCTGGAATCAAATTCTACAAATAGTATAATACTAAAAACAAGTGGAGCTTAATATTTTGTTCTGTCTAAATAGAAAACCCCGGTTTAAACAAGACGGATTACAATTTGGATTTCAAATTCCAATTGTCAACATTATGAATGAAGCTTCAAACTTTTCATCAGGGCCAGAATTCCTTTGAAAAATGGATGTCCGATGCTAGTTTTTGTACAGTTACAGGTGGTGCAGTATCCTCAGAGTTCTTCCTTACAGTCTCACCCACACCTTGCAGCCGCTGGTTCAGCCTTCCTCCCCCGTGGACAGATGCCCTGCAGCCGCTCTGCCGACAGACACGAGCAAGCTGCCTGGAACTTCACAGTTAAGTATTTGTTCATTTAAAATGAAGTATAAATAGCATGTGGGTTATCGGTTTCAAGTTAGCTACCCAAGGCTTATGAATAATTGACGCTCACACGGGAGGAGGCCGGGTGAGGGTGAGCTACCATGCAGAGGAGTAAACTTTCTGTGGGCTCTTGAGAGGACAAGAAACCAAGAAAACTGTGTAAGGAACTTATATCAACTTTCTATAGCACACTCAAAACTAATTCCCCTGTTAAAGCCTCCCGCACACCATAATAGAAACCAATAAATTGTGGAATCTGAGGATGGATGTGGGTCAGTGACGACAGGAGGAGGATGAAAGTGCAGATGATGAAGTTCTCAGTTTATCAGCAGGCCAAACCCTTCAGATTTCATCTCTGTGTGGCCCTGTCTGAGACGCCTCCTTATCAGCACAGCGTGCCGGCTCCACTGTACACTCGGCTCTATCTCGGGTTGGCACATTGAGCCGCAGTAAGCAGTTGTTGTTGACAGCAGCATCAAAAGAAACAGCGAGGGTGAGAACTATCACACCGCTATCGAGATAAAATGGGTTTTTTTCTGTTGCTCCATGCCAACATTTTTTTATGTCATTTGAAAACGAGTGTTCACACAAAAATACACTGCTTTTAGGTACACTTATTCAACAGACTTAAATATCCCAGTGTGTGGGAAAATGGAAAATGTTTTGGTAAAGTAAAATATTTCATGAATGCTGTAGCTTAGTCATTTTAATGTAATTTACTCACTTTATACATTACACAGGGCCAAGGAACTTTCAAGTATCGTTAGAAATAAGAAATCCTCTTTCAAAATGTCATAAAAAAACTTAAATCCAGCCTTGGAAGATAACTTTTCTTGGATGATTCACTCCACACACACCGCATTGAGTTACAAAGTTGTAAAGCCATTATGTCATTTTTTTTTTATCAGCCCGTAACAAACACCATTATATCCCATATTCCCTAGACCATCCCTGGTCAAACTTTATGACCACAGACTCAAAGTAGTGGACTTGGCCTCTACATGGTGAATCCAACGGAAAGTTCCTTAAACCTGCATTATGTCTAATAGCCAGCAGGGTGGCAGCTCCACCATTTCATTTAAAGTCTTCTTCAAACAACTTGATCTTAATTTTGTACACTATGATTACATCCAGATTAAGTATAAAATAAAGCATAGTATGCTTTAGGTGGCTTTCTTGAGATTGTCGCTACGAAGATGGTGATGGCCAAAATACCAAACTTGAGCTTTCAAAGCGCTAGTCCACACACCAGTGATGTCACGCTAGCTATTACCAAATGATACAAGACCATGGACTGTGTCCAGAACTGTGAAGAGTTAACCCCAACCTTTGTCTGGAAATAGGCTACAAAATGCTCAAAATTGAATTGAGTTACAGTAGCTAGCCAAACTGAAACATGCTCGGACGCGTTCATTCTTAGCCTAGCTCTGTCAGAGATAACTAAAACCTACATCAGCCCCTCTTGAGCTCACTAAACAAGTTCAGTTTTGTGACGTGGTTCAAGGACTTTTTAGTGCAGTGTTTTGCATTAATAATTGAGAGGGAAGAGTTAAAAGTTCTGGTAGTACCTTTGAAATGATCCAGGTTAGCTGTTTCTAGTCCTAATGTTAAGCTAAGCTAACGGAAAAGCTAATAATCATGTTTGGCATATAGATGTGAGAGTGGTACCAATCTTTCTAACTATCAGCTGGCAGGTAAATACAAGTAATTCCCAAAACACTAAACAATTTCCTTCAGTTGCAACATATCTGGTAGTGAGGTCAGTAATATTTTGTATTTTTAGCAAACCAGTAATACCTGTGAGGCCAGCCCCGTTTTCTTAAATCATGGGCAGTGTGTGAGGGGAAAACTTTGCTCCTGTTACATTTCCTTGGGCTCAACTGACTCCTGCCTCACTTGTGAACTAGTTAGGCTTTTCATTTCCTTCACTTCTCCCGCTCTGAGCCCACGTTCCTCTCCACACCCACAGTGCTAAGCCCAGAGCTCAACTTAGATACACACCACATGGCTGCCTGCATGTTATCTGCACACAAACTACAGCAACACTGGCAAGAAGAAGAAGAAGAGGAGGACAAGCACACAGAGCGAGTGTGCTCCTGTTCCTTCTCTATCGCTGGGGCATCGCCAAGTCTGTGGCGGCAAAGTGAGCGTTGACCTCGAGTTAACCTTACGCAAATGCACGTACACAGGCCAGCGTGCGCTCACACAAGGCTTGCATCCATATTTCATTGCAGAAATATATCCGCCCGACAGTATTTTACACCCACTGCGGAGCTCACTTCCCAGCGCCTGAGAGGGCCTGGAGGTCGCTCCTCTTCCACCGACTGGGCCAAGAGCAACAGGGCCAATCATCTGGAGAAGAAGCGAGGCTTAAGCAGGAAGATCCATCACTCCATTGTGTCCTTACTTGTCAAATTCTCTTGATGTATAACTCTGACTGGATCTGATATAGCTGGATCTCTATCACGGAAGCTTCTAAACGGGCTACAGTAAGCCTTATGACCTTTGCCCCCCACAGACCTCCAACTCCACCGTCCCACCTGTCCAACATCTGCTAGCCAAATGGAGTCCAGGTTCTGCTTGGCATAAATCTGATTAAAGTCCAACCCACCATTTATAACCCACCCCCATCATCTCAAACACACTTAACCTCCTGCTTCGACACCTCTTTACTTTGTCAATCTCCCCTCTGCTGCAGAGAAGTTGGACCACATGCTAACAGTCAGTGAACGGCATCTGGACTGACCTCTTTTTTGTTTTGGTTGTTCTCTGGCAGAGACACTGGAAAATGTCAGTGGGCATGTCCTTTTAATTCCTCTGCCTCGCCCCCTCCCCCCCCCCCTCCTTCACTCTTTCTCCTTCTATATAGCTCTCTGCTTTTCTGATCCTACCTCAGTCTGTTTCTATGTACGTACCAGAAATCTTCAATAATGCAAAATACCTGTTACACGCCAAGTGTGGATACACGTCCTGAAAATTCTTCCCAGGTCTCAGATTGATGCCAGGTAAACTCTACACATGGGTCTATTGGTTAAGTTCTCTGCAATTTAATCTACTTCCTCAATTTACAGAATCCGTGAGCACACATGTATAGTTTATTCAGATTTCTGGCATGGTAAAGACAGAAAGAAACAGGGAAGAAAGTGGTAAATGCATCAATTTGAAGCGGCCATTAAAGGTGGGGTAGGTAAGTTTGAGAAACCGGCTCGAGATACACTTTTTGTTATATTCCATGGAATGCTCTTAACATCCCGATAGCAATGAATATTTTAAGTGCTTTGACAAAAAATCCATACAAAAATGTAATCTGTGGAAGCCGTAGTACTGTAAAAAGCACGACCAATCATTTTAGCCGGCCCGGCTAAAATAACTGGATGGCCTACCTGCCTGTCAGCCTTCCATCTGTGCACAAACTTATCTCGTGCCCTCATTGGTCATGTGCGCGTTCGTGTGTGTTGGAGGAGGGGCTCTATAAGGAAGTGGCAGATTTTTTCCGGCTGTGTATTTTCAAATTCTAGCGATCTCGAGCTGGTTTCTCCAAAATTACCTACCCCACCTTTAAGTCTGACAAACGCGTTACATGGTCAAAAACATTTCTATAAGAATAAACGCCCTGCACTTTCAGAAACGATGCAAATGTAAACACATATCTTCATCAACTTCACAAAACATGCTGCATAAACAAAACGCTGTAAATACAACACTCTGTAAATACAAAAACACTGCAAGCTCAAAACACAACGGAAAGGGGGACACTAAAAAGTGATGCACAGACTATCATTGTTGGCAGAGTTAGTCTATTTCAGACAGTTATGGCGCATTTCCACTACACGGTCGGCCTCGGCCACACTCGGTACGGCTCGGTACGGCTCGGTACGGCTTGGCCGCGTTGGGCCTTAACAGGGCCGACTCACTTCA